TTCGTTGTTAATGTATATGTCTTTTCAATTTTACTCCACACTCGTAAATTTATATTGCCTCTTTGTACGATTTTTTTTCACCCAAATTGAATGTTCTGGTGTGAGTGCCAGCTTTGAGTTTCACTTGCACGTTTGTGGCATGTCCTTCAGTCTGTCCCTGCATAACCATTCCGTTTCCTTGACTGTAATGTTCAATATGTGGATCTGCCAAAATCATTAGCCTAACGTGGGATTTAGTCACTTCAGCAAGTCTGCAACCCCAGCCAAAAGTAAACCGTCGGTTTGTATTGATGGACAAAGTTAGTCTTAATTTATTATTCAGGGAATTGAGCTTAGTTTCGCAACCAAATGCTCAGAGAATAGGTATATGAAAGCAAAAACATTTTGTGCCAGACGCCAGTAACCTATATCACGGGTACAATTTGATATCCATCCCAATGGGCCACTCCTTAGCCAAGCATCATCCACCATCCGCTACGGTTCCAGTGGCAAGTGCAAAATTAAACGTTGGAATGCACCCTGTATTTAATTTGAGCATTATTATTTCTTAAAAACTGCCTTGCATCTCTAACGACTGCTGAAAGCTTTTATGGTCTGTAATCAAGACACACCAGCAAACACATGATCCCTACGAAATAGGTATTTTATTTCTTCCCATCGGCTGTGTTTTTTCAAGCTACGTCATTCTTGAGCTTAGTCTATTGTATTTAACTCGGCAGCAGTGTTTTTTTTTACACGTTAATCTGTTTAATAAAAGCTCGTGGTTTTAAGACAGAAATACATAATTCTCAGTAGATTAGGTTAAAGTTAACACTGACAGGCCTTGTGGGTTTGGCGGTTTGACTGGGACAGTGCTTGATTGAAGGCGTGTACCCAGCTGCCGCGAAAGCGTCGGTTTTTTTTTCCCAGAGGCCCCTTGGGGAATTGTCCGTCACGTCGCTGAAACGACCCTCGTTCTACGTGCGGTTAATGAAAAGCGGCTGCCCCTCTAAAGTGCCCCGGGGGGGGGGGGGGGGCTCGCAGATGACGCCGGGTTACGCCGCGCCAACCCTGCGGCTTCTCTTCTCCGCCCCGCGCGCACAACTCTCTCTCCACTCTCTGGAGGGCCGCTCGGGCACTGTGTCCAGGCTTGCTGAATTTCTAAACACGCAGGTTTAGGTGGCGTGGCTGTATATCTCTCCTGAGCGATCAAGGAGGTGGTGTCGATGCATTGTTCACCGCAGAGATTTTATAGCCGTGCCTTTGATACTGCTGGGATGTGGCCAGCTAAAGCGTGCCGTGAAAATTGGCCGCTGAGAGGATGTGTCAAGAGGCGCCACCAGTGTAGTTTGCTGTAACGCGTTGTTCTCTAAAAACATAGTTTAAGCTGCATATATTATATATATATATTCCATTGTGTGGGGGCGTCATGACAGCGTATTGACGTGGCGCCTGCCTTTAATATAGAAAAGGGTTGGTGGGTAGTAAGCCCAGAAGCCTCTGGAATGGGTGGTAGTGTCCTGTAATGCAGCGTTCTTTTGAAGACGACTGCTCTGAGGAGACCTCCGAGGCCTCAGGGGGCCTGTGCTCCTGCTGTGGCCTGCTGTTCCTGATGCCGCTGTTCTGGGCAGCCTGCAGTGTGGGCCCACGTGGCTGTACTGAAAGGTACCGAACTCGCGCCGCTGTGCACACTTTGATTTAAAAAGAAAAATAGCAACAACAACAACCTTGTTGTTGCGTTGAGTTCCATCATTTGATTCTGTTTTAAGCTTCAGAATGAAATGGTATCGCCAGCAGCGGATGATGACAAAACATTGTTTCATCAAAATGTGACGTTTGCTTCTTTATATTTTGTAACTGGGTGAGCAATCAGAATTGTGTGTGTCTTTCATCATATCCCATGAATTCACTTGTTAACCTACCAACATGTCGTGCAGTCTTCATGTGATGCCTCTGCGCGGTGAAGAAAGAGGTTGTGTCTCGCCATGCTGTTGCCTCGTGTTTGAGGGGCGTGTTAACGCTAGGACTTGTGCGTGCACGTTTTGGTCTCGTGTGCACATTCACAAGCTTTTGTGCACATGTGCAGAGAGGATTCAACATCGCTTCTAAAATGAGTTTGGTACCAGAGGCAATAAACGAAACACCCTGCTTGGACGTAAGCGCCTACTGTATTAAACCATAACTGTCCAATCCTTGCGTTACCAGATACTGAGAGTGCAGCATTTCCAATAAATCAATAGTATTTTTAAGAGCGTTTAGAGGCCACTGTATCGCTGGGGTTTGTTGTACCAAACTGGCGCAAAATCCTTGGGGCGGTAATGGTGATAAAAGCTGAGTCGTAGACTTCGCAAATAATTTCCTCTGCCACCAGAGATGAAGTTTGATCAAAATCTCTCAGATTAAAATTGAGAAATAGTTTGCAGATCTATTTCTGTGCCTAAAACATATACGCATTTGAACCTTATGGCACGACCCCGGGGTCCCGAATAAACGGAAGTCAAAATAGTAATTAATTAATAACATTTTGCCGACTCTGTCCCACCGCGCACATAAACGCTGCGACCCACCAGAAATCAATCCGCTCGTTCTTCACCAAGCACCCGTCGTTGCCAAAATTGCCGTAGTCATAAACAAAACTTTGAAACTTTGATTAGCGCATCGTGTAGAGCTCGTCGAGAGGAATAGATTGCCGTATCGTTCGCATTCAACAGACGTGAAATGATGTCGCAATGCAGTTTATGCGAGAGCCGGGGGCTTATGGGACCCTGGGGTCACACCATAAGGTTCATTTTACGTTATCCTCTTTGAATCCTAATTCTAATTTTGCGACCACATGGTATTTAGGCAGTGATGACGGATCAAGCGGTTTTAGGCACGGGGGGGGGGGGGGGGGTGGATGGTGGTTTAGGGAATAAAGGCAACGCACGCTTATTAATTCAGACTGTATTGAATATCGTTATTAACATTCGTGTAAATTGCCTAGGTGTCCGCTGGCAAAATACATTATGTACCCAAGAGGGTGTCCCACCTGGTTAAATAAAAGACCAAACTGCCTGCCTGTTCAGCCGCCCGCTGTGAAAAAGAGGTATGAGAATACCGTGAGTGCTGCTCATGCTCTCAAACCCGATGTTAAGTGCAGCAGCAGAAGCCGCAGCAGCAACAGCACAGGATGCTTTTGTAACAGCAGTGATCGTAGAGACTGAGCATGCGATCGCACGGTTGTGGGGGAGCCACCCCCGCGTACAGCCCCCAAGGTAGGTGCAAGGCTCTCCTAAGAATTCTGCAGCACCCTGTGTTAAGGCCAACTCCCTCCAAAGCCCTGCAGGTGCATGACTTGCCTGCATGCGTGCCTGCATGCGTGCCTGCGTGTGCACGTGCCACAAATGTCACGTATAGCGTCAAAGCCCCCTGTTTACCTTGCTTTACGAAGGTTCTCTGGGTTTTAATTATTTGTGGTTGCTGGTGTTTCCTCCTTGTCTTGAGTTTAATTTGTTTTGCGGGTTGGTAATGTGGGTGTGTGGATTTCACACGTGTTTTTTGTCACAGTGTTAATGAATCATGCGGTTAAAAATAGTTTTTGTTTTTCGAAGATGTGGAGGGAACTTAAATGCCTCGACAGCTTTACAGAGGATTTGTTGGAGCTGATGTCTGTTATGATGTAAGCATTGTTGACTGCAAGGGAGTATATTTAGGGAGGTTGTTTTGCATGGGATGGAACATTGACACATTGGCGCGAACGATGTTATGATCCCAGCTACCCGAGGTTAGTTTTCGGCCAACAGCAGTGGCGAATTATGTTTGAATCGGTCCTGGACCCCCTTCACTAAGCTGCACTTGCTAGTGTGGAGAAGTATGATCAAACAAACCCCGTGATTGGCACAGTGTAAAGGAGGCCTTCATCCAGCAGTGTAGTGACAAACGACTGTGAAGCATTATGCGTGTCATTTTACATCTGCTCTATTATTCACTTAACACAGTATTACAGTGGCACTTGTAGTGTATATTTGTTCATACTTGTTTTTGTAAGCAACTAATGTAGTGTTTAATTACGTGGTACTGTGCCAGTTGTATAAACATTATCTGCCGTGATTGATGCCTGTGGTGTAGATGGGTGCTGAATACAGATATGAACAGCTGTGGGTGCCTTACTTTGCTAAAAATGTCATCTGAGTGCAAACTGAAGGCTATGCATGCTACCATGGTCCATGTGTACAAGCACTCCCCACACTAGGAGAATTACATTGCCTTGCGAATATCGGGTAAACAAATTCCCGAGCAATCATTGTAAGTGTGGGATATTGCATATTCCAACCATTTGTTTTTGTGTCGTGTCTTGAATTTAACGGGGTGAACACAACGTCGTGGTAAACGTGTTGCATTGGTTTATGGAGCGCATTACGTTTGTTTAATCCGTCACGTGTTAAAGCTCGGTCAAGGAAAATTAACGGCAAGTGTGATTTACTTTGTAACGAGCAGTTTTCTTCTTTGTCATCAGCATGTTCATTGAAACATAATGCATACATATTTTTTCCCCCGTTTATTTTTCTTGTGTTTACAATGAACTCGTGTGTCAACAACTTTCCAAACAGACGGAAACTGTAATCGGAGCCGATAACTCCACTCCAAATGATGGGATGGCATCAGAATTGTTGTTTGCCTTTTTTTGAGGCCACCTGTCTGCTCGCTGTTAACATTCACACGCGGCTCGCCCGGGACCTCTTGAGGCAGCAGTGAGGGCCGAGCAGCCGCACGGAGGTCAAACCGCAGTGTCGTCTGGAGACGGCGTCGGCAATCAAAGCGATTTCTGTTGACCTTTGATGGACGTGCAATGCGCCAGATCCACCTTAGCTAACGGCTCGTGCCGAACACGACAACGTGACGAGCCTGCTGCAGAAAACATCCTTCATGCGTTAATGCGCGTTCTGAGGGTGCCGATTGGACCGTAATTGGCCTCGGTATTAACCTCTTCCGTTCTCAGTTCTCTTTCCGCCCGCTGTCGTCACTGTCGTGCGCGTGTGCAGTGCCTCATCGCGAGTTGTGAAGAACGTGGGCGATCAGCTGAATAGGATGAGCCTTCATGGGACTGGCAACGTGGGTGCCAACGGCAGTGGCGGAGCTGGCGGAGGCGGTGGGAACGGGTCGGAGCGTTCGAGAGACCGCTGCCGCTCCAGCGACCGCTCACGCGACTCCTCCCACGAGCGTGCCGAGGGGCAGCTCACGCCCTGCATCCGCAACGTGACGTCGCCCACCCGCCAGCGCCCGCCCGGTAGGTGCTCGCTTGATCCTGCGCGGTCGATTGACCACCGCCGCACCCAAGTCGCTCGCTCCGATGTCGGTCGGTTCGTCGATTCGCTCGTTTGTTTGGCTTCTGCCGGCTGCGGTGGCTGAGCAAGGGCATTGGCACCTCGCGTAACATATCAAAGGCTTACACGGGCACCCGAACGGCTCTGTTAAATAATGCAGTGCAGGATTGTGGTAAGCTGCAGGGAGGTGCTGCATGGGGACTTAAGTTAACTAGAGGGCCCATTCATTTGTTATATGTCCACGATCTATTTTTCTTCCCTACTTTTTTTGTAAAATAAGATCCAAATATGGTGCTTAATTTCAGGCGTTGTCTAGCAGACATATAATTTCCCACAGGCTACTATTGCTGTCCAGTTTGTCACCCCCAGATAATGGGTTGGTGGTACTCATCGCCTGAGAATTGCAGTGGTTAAGTGAGTGAATGAAGCAGCCGGTGATGGCCTTTGGACAATTTGGCAGTCAATGTGCAGGTAGTAGGTTTACTGAGTTGGGTGGCGGGGGGGGGTCAACATTGGTGCAATGCAGGAGGCTTGGTGCATCTGCATTTGGGCTACGGCTAGGAGACTGAAACGCTTGGAAGTCATCCTACTCTGCTGTTGACCCATGGAAAGATCCGCATTGTAATTCGATGCTTTTGCACCCCCCTGCCGTACCCCGTCCATGAACATTAGCCTGGCCGTTCCCAAACTGTAAGAGGCAACCTGATTTGGCAAAGCTGTCTCAGTGAGATTTTTCTGGGTCACTGGGGCTGTGTGTAATGCACCGTTGGTCTTGCGGAGGACATTGGACGCGAAAAAAAGCCACAGCAGATTGATCTATGGCTTAATCCCCACATTTGAATGTACGCTTACATGAAAATACCATTACATTGTCACCAAACAACTTGAAAAGTAGTGTTATAGAGTAATGTTAATGTATTTAATAATAATGTTCTAGCAACACATTTGTAAATAATTTTTTATAAATGTTTACTGCAACAAACAATCGCATCTAAATTACACCTGTGTAATTTGTTGTTCAAAATAATTAGAATTCTTTAATAGATTCTAGTAGTCTGCATTTGCTGCAATTAGGACAAGTCACCATTGATTGATCGTATCACATTAACGTGACTTCATAGCCACTCTGAGAAGCAGTTTTACTGAAAATCCTCGTTGTTAATGCCCTCTTCGGCTTCATCATGCTCACTGCAGCCCCACGCCGTTCTGTCGTCTAATATAGTAACACAAAATCTCGTCCACCACATCAGTGATGCGGCATATTTCAAATTCACCCTGGTGTGCGTCCACAACAACGGTGATTCAAACGAAGCTGACAAAGAACAGCGGTTGAGCATATTGAATGCGAAACCAAACTGCACTGGATCATTAGACCGACAACAGAGAGCGGTGGTAAAATTGAAGAGGGAATGGACACAGCCGTGTTTCACGCCTGATTTACCGCGGCGCTGCCCAGCGTCACGTCTGGCCAGAAAAGATCAATCTTAATTATGGAGCTTTCGTGACTGCAGGAATTATTCTTTGGTTCTTTCGGTTTGTGCCGATATGTGTCCTCTCTCTGTGTGTCCTTGTGATGTCTGTCTGCTTGTATGTCTGTCTATAGTTTTCTAGTTAGATTTTTGTTGCTTTTTCTTTTTTGCCTGATGATGATTGCTTGTGTTGCAATCGAAACGTCGTAATATGCTTTTATTTTAATTTATTATTTTATCTTTAGACAGAAAAGATCAGTCGGACTCCTAGGCACCCGAGTCAGATTTACACTCAAAAGCCAAATATTTTTTTTTAGCACCCCAGCCTCCCAAGGAAAGAAAAAGACCAAAATGGTCGGTGTGACGCATTTGTAACTAGCGGGAATCTTAAAAAAAATGTTCATGCAGTAATAACGTGCATTGCCGGGGCCCGCTAGCTGGGAGTGTCGCTTTGGCGGTGAGCGATTCCTGAGCCTTCGCCAATAACAGGGTCAGCCGCGTGAAGCCCATTTCCATGCATGGCGCGGCGGCGGCGGCGGTGGCGGCTACGGCTGCAACGGCAGTCTGGCACAGTTTCGCTATTAATCATCACCGTCTAAGAAGTTCCGTGAGCATTCGTCCAGCCAAAACCAATTAAAATCAACCTCACGTAATTTTTGTGGCCGTATCCTCATGTTCAATAGGTTGTCTCAGTTGGCCGTTTGTAATTTCGATTTTCCTCATTTTATGTGCACAGTTTTTTTTTGGAGAGAACGCTATCAATATTTAATGCCGCTGCTTTGGTTCCCCGAATGCATTCACGGCAGGAGTCTGTTTAATGCCATTGTGCTTTTTTTGCTCTTGGCTGCTGATTACATTGCACGTTGATGGTAACACGTGTTTATAATCTAATTTCGTACAGTTTATGTACAAGAGGGAAAAGAAATGCTTTACAAGCTTGCTTAGTTGACGGGTCTTGGTTTTGTGATTCTACTAAAGTTGACGGAATTGCTTTAACAGTGGCTACGACCATCCCTGTACTACTATGTGAGGTAGCTGATTATCGGTTTTGTCAAACCCTTTGCTCTAAATGCCCCCGCGTTCACAGTGTCTCTTAGGGCAAGCCGTGGGTTGAGGGTAAATGAGCACTGCAATCCTTGCATCCCACACCTTCAAGCGCCCCTTTATCAGCGAGGCTTCACCACACATGTGCACACAATGCCGTGCAATATTTTAACCAGGGTATAATAGACATTGTGCATGTTAATTGTTGGCAGTGGGGGGGGGGGGATGGTACCATGGGCTGGATGTAAGAGTCGTGGTAGCTGCTTCCTTGCCCTCCAACAAGGTGCGGCATTTTGGAGCTGTGTGCACAAAGAGTTAAATTTTGTTCATGAAAACCTAGCCAAGGTGAATTAATATTCCGTTTTGTTGATTAAATAACACTGTCTCGGGACACTGCAGTACATTCCTCGTTGTTTATATGTAAGTGGTGATGCTGATGATGATGTATTTGTGCTGGCGCCGTCACTAGGAGCTCCGTATTTACGTTCGTCTCTTGTATTAATAAGTTATGCATGAGCATCGCCACCTGGGATTTCCTGCAGATAAAGCAACACTGCCATCTGAAGCTTTGGAAATATTTTAAAATGATTACTTTTAAAAATGTAAATGAAGAACAACGATTTAAATCCATAAGAGGTTTTTTTGGGTAAATCTAAATTTGTGTCGTTTAACCCGCCACCAGCCGACACAGCCAATTAGTAATGTCTGTCACGTAAACAAAACGTGCCAATTCGTTACTAGTACAGCGCACACCTGTGTGTTGGAGAGTAAACCCACAACATTTACTATTCGAGTTGACGTTTTGCTAGTAATTATAATTAGTATCATCGGAAAACAGCCTGGTTGGTCGCGAAAGTCTGCATGTTAAACTATTTAAATGCTGTTGAAATGTCCGTGTACTTTGCCTTAATTACATTTCAGATTTTGTTGAATTTGGAGAAACTACATTTTCGGGAATTATTATTTACGCATAATTAGGGTTCATTATTAATCATTATTTGGAAAACATGATTAGCGACTGCTTTGCATCTAGTATAACAAAGCAAGCTACTTGGCATGAACGAGTACAATGTCATATAGAGACTTGTGTACGTGAAACACCAGCATTTTATGTACTCCCATTCGCTTATCAATGGACCCTGTTGCTGTTTAAACGTCAAGGAGGATAAACAGATTTTTTCCTAGGCTGTTTTCCAGGCTGCCTGCCACATTTTGTTTCCTTTATGAGAAAAAAGGTTTTTTAATCTTGGTTGGCCAACTCCATCTTAGTACTCTAGTGACACCAGTACATTGCCATTGAAAAACAGAGACAAGTAGTATCACTCGTGCCGCAATGGATTCAACCTCGGCACATATCTACAGAATAAGACCTGTTTTTGTTTTAATACAATATCTCTTTTAGATGGGCACCTGCTCACATGTAAAGAAGCCACCTCCAACAGACGTTCTGTAGCTCAAGGCCACTTCAAATGAATGTGTGAAAACATTCCAGGGGGCCTCTGCTCCCCCCCCCCCCCCATCGCCCGCATCAGCCGCGAGCTTAAAGGGAGGTGTGCGTGTCTGCGTTGGTGTCAGATCGCGGCAGCGGGGACGGCGGGCGAGTGTCGCGGCCGTCGAGCCCGCGGCCGACGCGGGCGTCTCCGCCTTGCACGGCCGGGGGGGCGTGCGGGGCTCGTGCCAAGGAGGACATGGTGGTGATGTCTTTGGAGAGCCACAAGGACGGCGGTGGTATCATCATCGGCGGCGGTATCGGCGGCGGCATCTGCGGCCCCAGCATGGGCCTGGGCCTGGGCCGGAGCGTGCGCGGTCACGAGCGGGTGACGCTCATCGTGGACAGCACGCGGTTCGTGGTTGACCCGGGAATCTTCACGGCGCACCCCAACACAATGCTGGGCAGGTGAGCGTGTTTATAGGGGTGACGTTGGGTCCAGCTGCGAATCATTTTTAATGCAGAACTGCGAGTGATTGCGACGTTATATTGTATTTTAAATTTCTATTTAAAGTTGTTGTGACTGCATGGATTCATATTCTTGGTTCTTTCGGTAAAATGACGTAGAAGGGAAATAATAAAATAAGAAAAATAAAACTTAATAAGAAAATTCTCACGACGTTTCGGCCACAACGCAAGCAGCCGTCCTCAGGTGAAAAACAGGGCTGTCGGAAAGACAGCGTCTTAATGAACCAATATATTGTATCACACTATGTCCTGCGTCAGTATGTAAGCATGAGCTGAATCTGATTTTCTTCCGTTGGCATGAGTAAAGTGTTTTGTATGTTTTGAGCAGTGTCATGTCTTCAAAATACTGCCACGTGTTCATTGCCCAATACCTTAACTTAATTTGTATTGTTTATTTGGTTCTCAACTACATATTTTCAAATATCTTGTACGAAGAAGATATTATCGGTTGAGTTCACAGTTTTGTGCATGTGGAAATTAATTGGGTTCTTGTAAGCAATTTAAAAGTTTAATGGGAAACTTAAGAAACACTAATTTCTTAAATTGTCTTCCGCAGTGCTCTGTGAATTATCATTTGACATGTACAACAAATATTGAAGTAGTAGTTGCGCAGTCGCATTGTTGTGCGTAGATTTTACAGAGAAAGCAAATCTGATCATTTACATCCTGATTAAAAGCGAGTGAATGAGGACAATGTGCATGTTCCTTCGAGGAATTTCACGACACTACGGAATCGACATGAGAGTAATTGCTATGAAACCTTGTTCACATCGGTTGCATTCGTTATTCATGAGCTTTCTTTTTAAATCCTTTATATTAAGTTCACTTGCTTGCGCGCTTACGACCATGCAAATCTTTCGGTCGTTTTTTAACCCACTTCCCGTGATCCAATCGAGCTGACATTTTGCACACAGACTCGTTGTGCGTGACAATTTATTTTCATGAAAGCATTTTCAAAAATGTTACACTTTTTAGGAAAATGTTTTTTATATTTAATTACCAATTGCTTAATGGTGGCAGGCAATCATCTGACCCATAGGTGGCAGCCATCTCAAGCCAGAGGACGAGAGTGAAAAACTTTGTTTTTACGGGTTAATTTTTTACTGAGGTGAGGTGGCAGTGGGATTTGACTTCTGCTACTTAAACGTGTGCAGTGATAGAAGAAAAACATGTTTTTTGGCACTGGTTGGTGCCTTATCCGAGTACTTTTGGCACACTTTTCCCTGGGTGATGGGAAAAATAATTGCCTCGCATCTCTCTGGACAGGTGAGAAGTCACTGACTTCCCTGCTGTTCTCTGTGCTCAGTGCATTTTTATTATAACGTGTGGATGTGACGCTTGCCAGGACTGTTTTGGCTGCTTTCTTGTCCCCAAAAATATCTTGCACTAGCGGGAAACTGCAACCAAGAGCAACACATTTTGACAGTTTCGCCTTTGCAAATAGTCCATAATATGAAAGAGAACGGAATATTCTCGGTGTCAGCATTGGTTTTACGAAAAGAGTAGTTGTCTGGATAAAATTAGATTTTCCTTTCAGAGATGCTGTGAAACAGTTGTAAAGTGGGAAGATATTGCATGTATGTTTGAATGTTGAAGTTATTTCTCACCGTATGTAGCCAACCGTGAAAATCGGAGGTCTAGGAAAAAGACAAACTGATTATTGAGGATTTGTATACTGCTTGTATTGCATTGTTAGAGGTATGTCGATGCATTGATTAAATCATTAATGTTGATTCTTAAGATGATGATGCATTCGCACGTGTAGGAATGTATATTTTTTTCAATTGCCATGAGTTCTATGGAACGGGTTCTAACCCCCGCAGGCACAAGTGGCCACTGCATGTTCTAACGTTTAATAAAGTAATCTACTCATGCAAATTATAATTTGGGATCGTAACAATTGTTGGTGAATCATTGCACCTCTAATATTCGATATTTATGAACAGTTAGATTGCTCGTGAAGTTAAACAAATTGCAGATGGAGGGCCAGGCATACACAGTGATACTAAGGGTACATCGCACACACGACCTCAGACAGACGCCTGAAGCCATTAATTCTTCCGTGTGCAATAACGACCCACTCTCTGTGTTTTGTTGATGTTTTTTTTTCCAGGATGTTTGGCTCCGGACGGGAGTATAACTTCACGCGGCCGAACGACAAAGGGGAATACGATGTCGCAGAAGGGATCAGCTCCACAGTCTTCAGAGCAATCCTGGTGAGAGAGAGAGAGAGAGAGTGGTGTCGGACTGGCAGGCAGCGAGCACAATTCACGCTAATGTCTTTTAGATTAACCAACATGAAGTAGCGCTGCGTAGCGCGAGTGTGTGTGCATGGTAGATTGCCTTATAAATCTTTCCCATAACTCACCAGATTTTGCCAATATCAACAGACGTGATTTGCTTTTGTAGTTCGTAAAATGCAGAGAGATTATTATTTTCCTTCCGTTTTTTTTTTCTCTCGTAGAACGCTTTGAGTCAAATTAAATTTCGTTGGAATTACAATTCCGTCGCGTCAGCCCTAGCACAAGCTGCGTAAATCTGCTGGCTGAGGTGCAGCGTTCGCAAGTATTCTGGTGGTAACTGTGTTATGTTCTTGAGAGCTGAGTTTTAGCTTTGAACACGAGTTGTTTGTCATGGGTGTCAGGAAGAGCTGTGCCTGGTACGAGTCAGCGACACAACAACCTCTTCTTTGAGTCCAGTGTTATCCTCTTTCTGTCTGCATGCCTTCCTTTGATTTATATCAGACCTGGCTGCACGAGTTAAGCTCCATAGTCTCGGCTCATTATTCACACCGTATTCTTGCCCGAGTAATAAGAGTTTGTTGGCACTGATGTTAGGAAGCCACTGGAGCCATGCACTTTTAAATCTAGATTGAAAACACATTTCTTTGGAACTGCTTTTTGTGTTTAGTTTTTGTTGACCTTCCCCCGCATCTCCGATTAGCGCAGTTGGCTACACAAGGTGTGAAAGAAGTTCAACATACATACATACTACAAGAACAATATCTCTTGCAAAGGCAGACATTTGGTTTTAACAGCATTCAGGAGGTACTCAAGAGACGATGAGTTGTTGGGCTTCATCCCACGGAGGAAGCAGACATGTATAGAATCATATTTTTCCTGACTTGTTTTTGTTTTCAAGTGACATTGTTGGAATTGCAAGAACAATATCGATGCAAAAATGGCCACACTTGGTACATTGCTTCTCCATATACTTACACGTTTACAAATAAAAACCGCCTGTGACAGAGAAAGTACATCGCCTTTACTTTCAGCAGCTGTTTGTATATTCTGAATATGCTGAAAGCGGTAAGTCTCAACTTCAAACAAAACACTAGGTTTTTTTTTCCCCCTGGCGGAAATTTCCATCGCTTTTCGGGCCTGTCAGAGCGCATGTTGACACCCTCCCTCACCGGAGGCCCTCTCAGTGCTTTCATGCCTTGCTGCCCAGGATGAGTGATAAAGATGTAGACCCCAGCACTAAGGATAGCCCAGTCTAGAGGTTTTCTGTCTTGGAGGATGAGGAGGTTTCGGCTTCAAGGAAATTCAAACCTCGTGTCCTGCTCTTTGTGAGTGCAATGCATCACTGTACTAGGAGTATGGATGAATGTGGAAGGTTTGCAGAGGCGTGGAATAGAAAGAATGTTTTTTAAGTAGACCATGTGGCAAATTAACCACACTTTATTTAGAATGTTCTGTACGAGAGAGAATTACCTAAATGTGGTGTGCACAACATTTCAAGACCTGGTTCACAAGAACCCCTGAATGTTTTCCTTCCAGTTGGTGAATGTCAACCAGAGTTTTATTTATTGAATAAATTGTGGGGTTGCATGATAGTTTCTTGGGGGGTTGAATGTTTGCTAAACGTCTGGAGCTGGAAACTAGAAAACTACTTTTATTTTCTTAACTGGCTTAAGGATGAATTCATGATTAATGTGCAGTGCCTTGGCGATAGAATTGAACACCAGCAGATTACTGTGTCGAGGCACGCGACAGAACGTGGTGTTGATGTTCACGTGCATGCGCCGGCTTGCAGTTTGTATCCCCTCGTGACTGACGTATTTTTTTAGGTTTAACCTGCGTTGTGGCTATTTGGTATTGCGATGCCGTCCTTGCATCAGAAAAACGTCTCGGCAAACAACAGCGGCTCCAAAAACAATCCTGTCACGCGCTGTCCTTGGTATTTGCGCGGCCCATGTCGCTTCGCTAAAAACTTTGCACCGGCTCCACCAACAAATCAAGAGAAAATCATACAAAATCACTATTCTCTGTGGCAACCAAGCTCTCTCTCTCTCTCAAGTTCTCATGCAATAGCTCTCCACCTCTCTTACTCCATTGACCACAGAAAACTGCCGTGCCCTGCCGAGTTCACGTCGAATGGTCTGCTCCTCGTACCCGGAGCCAGTAACTGCCTTGATTGAGCGCCGTTTTCTCTGTAACTGCACCGGCCATCTGGAACTTTCTCGCGCTGCACACACGCATCAATCCAAGCACCATTCGCCTTCCAAGAAGCTGCAACTCAAGGCTCTCACTTGTTCACGCTGGCGTACGAGGGACTTTGAGCTATGGCTCCATGCCTCTATGATTTAGAAATTTCATGATGCGTCTGATTTGTGAAATGTGTGCCCTCTCCATTGTTTATTAGTGTTAGCACCCCACCATATTCACACAATGAAAATTGCACACAATTTTAAATTATTATGATGCCTACTGGCATTATTACCTCGCTATAAAAATAAGCCACTGCTATTTTCATTAATTAATTTCACATCCACCCTTGTTTCTTCCAGCTATGTTTTGCATCACTAAAGAATAAGCTTTGACGATTGAAGGAATGGCTTGCAGCCAATTGTGTATGAAGATTAGGTGGAACTTTGCAACAAATTCTCTCCACGGACTACTTTCCTTCCTCTCAGTGGAACACAAAAGTATTTTTTAAGGAATTTATGTCGGCGTGTGCACGATGTACGGTGAAGTTGAATGTTTCCTTGATGCACGTTAACATTTCTGATTTGTCTTTAATCCCATGTCTTAAAAACAGGATTACTACAAGACTGGAATGATTCGGTGCCCAGATGGGATTTCCATCCCGGAGCTGAGAGAGGCATGCGACTATCTGTGCATCCCCTTCGAGTACAGCACCATCAAGTGCCGCGATCTCAGTGAGTAGCACTGCCCCTACAGTGATATTATCCCAGCCGTGCTGCCCCTTGGAAATAATCCTCCTAGTCGTTTTCTCTCTACGTCCGATTGAAGGTGTACATGTACGGCCCTTTGTTAATTCATTGCCGAGTAAAACCTTCCACCATGGGCTGTAACTTATTTTTATCCATACTTCACAATTCTGGTAAGTGCAGGTGACTGAAAGCAGTGAGCATCGGTGAGGGAACATAGTACAGTAGAGCAATGGATTTTGATGCAATTCCCTCTTCTGTTGATAATGTAGCCCAGCTCTTGCAACCGCCAATGGCAGCCTGTTTGTACGTGGTGGTTGCCCATCTAAAGCTCGCTCCACCTAGCTTCCGAGATCTGACAAAAATCGGTCGCATTCCGGCTGACTTGGTCACAAGCCTATTGAAAGGGACTTGGCAATCTTCATCTCCCCAAACACATCTACAACCATCGTTGAATAGTTATTGTTTATGAATCAGTATTGTTAATCAGTTTAACATGTAGGCTTTCGCGACTAATAGCATCCATAATACAGGTTATTTTTGGTTAGATCGCGTAAATTTATAATAGTGTCGTTAAACCCGCCACCATCCGACACAGCCAATTAGTAAGGTTTGTCACGGAAACAGAACATGCAAATTTGTTACTAGTGCTCTCCAACACAACGCTGTGCTCTCCACCACACCGGTGTGCTGTACTAGTAACGAATTGGCATGTTCTGTTTACGTGACAAACCTTGCTAATTGGCTGTCGGATGGTGGCGGGTTTAACGACACTTTTATATATTTACGCGATCTCACCCAAAAAGACCTGTATTATGGAGTCTTTTTTAATGTTTTAAGAGAAGCAGAGCAGACACTTACGGCTAATAGGCCCTTGGAGCCCTTGACTCTGAACAGATTCTGTCACCAGTAAATTATGGGCTTTGAGGGTGGTGGGCAGAACATTGCAGGCGCCACTGCGTGTGGTGATGCCCAGGGTAAAGTGAAGGCCGTAATTAATGTGCACTACGGTGCAGCATTGGCCACCTCCAATTAGCACGGTTGGCGACGTAGGTTGCAAAAGAAGCTCAACATACGGGCCAGAGTCAATGTCTTGCTGTAGCGATATGGAAATGAGAAGCAAATAACAGTTTACTAGCTCATGTTTACATTTTACTTGGTACACAAGTTTTCAAGTCATTGCTTTTCCTCGGTGATACATATACATTTGAGTGTGTATGTATTCCAGTTGAATTAATTTGAGTATATAGCTCTTACATTTATTCAATATCTTAGTACGCTGAAATTTACTGGCCTTCATCATCTTAATTACCAGTGGTGATCAATACTCAATCAATGTTAAATACTAAAAATAAAATATTTCCTATGATCAGTTCACAGTAATAATGGTCCTTTGCTTCATAGTAGAGATGTAATGATTCAACAATTAAAATGTTCTTTGATCATGATAATCGAACTGTGCTTGTAATAATTACTTCTTATTTATGTATTTATACCACTGTTTTCCATAGCTTCATAACACATAGTTTACAAGGGCGTACAAATATTACTGCATTATATCATTAGTAAGTATGTTGAGGTCTCTTATAAATGAGATTTTATTTCGTCAACGAGTTATCGCCTGGTCCTGAATGACAAATGTTGAATCAATGCGATTATAACAATGACAGAGGTGGAGCAGTAGTGTACTGATTAGCGCACTGCGCTACAAACCCGGTGACATGCATTCGATTCCTGATCATAATATCGATGGCAAATCATATTAGAATTGGTGCAACGCTCCACCCGCCTTAACCAAACTACGCCTGCTCAGCGTGTTCAATTATGCTCACACAACCCCAATGACTGACATGGCATTGGGAGTCCTTCATCCAGCAGTGGATTGACAGGGGCAGTGATTATTATTTTTTGGGGTGGAGGTTATTATAAATCATCATGATGACGATAGCAACAATATAATATGAGACAAGGGCACAAAGAGTGCATGGTGTGGGCGAGGAGGAACCATCCCTGACGCACGTGTTCCGTTACGCCCCGCAGGCGCCCTGATGCACGAGCTGTCCAATGACGGGGCACGGCAGCAGTTTGAGTACTACCTGGAGGAGATGGTGTTGCCGCTGATGGTGGCGAGCGCGCAGGGCGGCGACCGCGAGTGCCACATCGTCGTGCTGACCGACGAGGACGTCGTCGACTGGGACGAGGAGTACCCGCCGCAGATGGGGGAGGAGTACTCGCAGAGTAATGCGCACACCCGAGCACCCGCGCGCACACACACTGCTCGTTAACGCTTTCCAAGCCGAGTATAAAAGCGTCAGTTATGCAGTCGCACTTACATCGGTTCTGTAATGGGGGAGGAGGGCGGGGGGGCGATAAGTCTCCGGAAAGATAATCCAATGCAAAAGAAAATATCGTGTCAAGTTGTTCCAGTTTGGATTATACCCTTATGTAAAACCTGTCAAAGGATTGTTGACATTTTGGCAATAAAGCCAGCACGAAAGGGATTGTCCTTGATGGCCATGCCATTGTTTGACGTCATCTCATCATACAGCTTAAAATGTAATTTTGTAATCGCTGAAGAATTACTTGCGACTACAAATGCTGGAAAACTAAATCTTTGCAGGCGCATTATTTTTATTCCTCTGTCTGCATTAACCACACCAATCAGTTTCAAAGACAATGCACATACTGTCTGAGCATGTTTTTTTGTTTACATGTTCACCACAAGTATATGTGGTTGATGCAGACATTATTCCTCGCAAAGGTTTCAGTTTGGTGTTTTAACATTTTAACACCTGCTTTATTGCCAGAAAGGGGAAAACCCTATTATCATAATTTTATACTGGCAAAGGAGGTCTCATGATATACAGTATTAGCTAATTGTAGTAGTTTGTTCGTGACCAATGGTTCCACCGTTGAACATGTCCACATTCAGCCGTTGCTTGTGACTAAAACGGCAGGAGCAAGAAAAGCAAATCTGTAGCTTTCTTAATACACTTATCACTTTTGACATTTGTCACTTTTGCCAAATGTTATGTTTTATCTGCATTACTCTTATTCCCTTCACAGTTTACGGTCAAACAGAATTTGTCTTGCATTGGCAGACTGCTTTCATTGTAAATCAAAGTTGTGCTTGAATATGAAAAATATATATCTACATTAAATGTCACTTATGTCTCACTGGCACCCCCATGATTGCTGGATATTAACAAGTTGGAAAATCAGGAGCTGCGCTGTCTAAGCAATTATGATGTGTGTTCTTTTATTGCTTTTTGTGTCGGTTTCAGTCATTTACAGCACCAAGCTTTATCGATTCTTCAAGTATATCGAGAACAGGGACGTTGCCAAGTCCGTTTTAAAAGAACGTGGCCTGAAGAAGATTCGACTGGGAATCGAGGGTAAGGAGGATGATTTTCTTTCGGTCCACTGCTGTCCGTTGTGGTTCTGTCTGCTGCAACTAATTGGCAACTTTTATACAAATCCTGTCGGCAGTGTAAAGGTAGCTGCAGGCTTGGGTAATCAATTCTATGTACCTAACATGGTGATGCTTTTATCTTTGATCATCATAACCCTAATATTATTAAGACGGTGGTCACCGACAAACTCCAGGTCAGTGACCATTGGACACCATCTTGTGGCGGACACTACAGAAATGCTAAAAAAGACAATTCGTAAAGACGGAGGGGTGAGGGGAAACCCCCGCCGGACCACTTGTGCCCTCTACCACCATTTCTTCAGTCCTCAAAAGTTTCTAAAAATGTTTACTCTTCACTTGTGTACAAGGGGTATCCATTTTATAGCAGACATCTACCATCATGAACATAATGGTGTGCATGCCTAAGTGCATTTTGATAACATCTCCCTTCTATATTGTGCAAATCATTGGGGTTTTTAATTTACTTGAATGGGATCAATTACTTTGGTGCGTCTGTTAAAAGAGACATGATGATGTTAAGTGGTCAACACTTGCAAAAGGAACCCAGTTGGGGGCGGTGTTGGCAGGTGCGTTGTGCCAAATGACCGTCTTCCCTATACACCTCCACCATCGCCCCAAACAGGTTACCCGACGTACAAGGAGAAGGTGAAGAAGCGTCCGGGCGGGCGCCCAGAGGTCATCTACAACTACGTGCAACGGCCCTTCATCCGCATGTCGTGGGAGAAGGAGGAGGGCAAGAGCCGGCACGTGGACTTCCAGTGCGTAAAGAGCAAGTCCATCACCAACCTGGCGGCGGCCGCCTCCGACGTTCCGCCCACCGAGCCACTCGCCGCTGGCAGCGGCGGCGCAGCTCCTGCCGCCAACGCCGCGGCCGTCATCCACGGCGCGGGAAGTTTGCACGCGCCGCCTCCGCAGGTGGACGAATTGGACGTCCTGCCCAACCTGTCTGGTCCGTCGAGGGGCCACGAGCATTACCCTGACCAGCCGCTGCCTCCCGACTGAGGAGCAGCGGTCAGAGGGTAGCAATGGCTGGCCGGTCGGCCGGCAGGCTAACGCATCTGCGCTCCCTCCACTGCAGAGTTTAGGGGGTGACACTGATGCCTCATAGCCGCTGGATGTCAAAACAAATTAAACATACACATGTAGGTAAAATATAAATCTCGATTCATGAGCGCACGCCTTTCTCAGTGATTCAGGAACTAGCAAACTTAACTGTATGCATGGCTGCCGACCGTTTAAATTCCTGTGTAAAACAGAAAAAAAAATCAATGCACGTGTAAGAAGGAGGAAAGTGTTTTCTTTTTATTTAAGTACAAACGTAAAGCCACTGTTGAACAAGTGTCTTCTATCAAATGTATTCATTCTTCCACTTTGCTGCCATTTAGAAAATGTGTGGTTTTTTTCCTATGGCATTCATTAGTGATTTAAAAGCATGCAATTCCACTATCATAAACCTATTCCTCAACATGCCAATGCAAACCCCATGAGTGTGTAATGTGTAGCGCTGCCAAATACATTGTTATAATTACAATGCACAACCTGCTTACCTGACAAGCACAGTGACAGGAAGACAGTGACTACCTATCAAAACTTAGAGACGACAACACGAGAATGATACGGCCACATAACCCACTGTATAAAGGGAACGCCCTGAAACCGTGTATGAACTAAACTAAACTTTTTTTTATTTTACAGCGGGTGCGGTGGCAAGAAGTTAAGCGAGAGCTTTTGGTAATTTATCAAAAAAACCCTGGTGACATTTTATAGCTACCTTTCCATACAGGAGACCGCTCCAATCTGTTTAGCAGATTTAACAACACTCAAAGGTGTGCATGGCACTTACAAAAGCCTTATCCAGACAACCGCATCAAAATAACTGAAGGCGTCGCCATTTTGTCATTTAGATCTCGGACTCAGAGTTGATAAAATGTGGCTATCCCAACAGGCAGCAGTGAAACAGACAACTGTAGACCAGTTTTGTGCTCATTAGGACTGGTCAGTGTAGTACAACAATGTTCACTGCTGCCATATTACTGTCATATTCCTCTGTGTGTTGTTAAATCTATGTTTCCATCCTACATTCATTTTTTCTGTTGTAATGGGGTTTATCGTCATTTACAGAGTTTTTTTACGTAGTGTAGTGTTTAACTTTCACTTTCCAAAAACCCATTTTTGTCCATTCATTAGGCATGTAATACCGTTTTATTAATGTCAACATGATAACACGATAGTTGAGAGAGATGACCCACCAATTGTTTAAATCAAGCCATATAGTGCATTCGTGAATATCGGTATGATACCAGTAAGCAGCACAAGGGGCTTCAAATAACAAAAAGCAAATGGCCAGAGTCGAGGTCGTTGCACAGGATTTTTCGTCCACTTATTATTACTCTTCATGGACGACTGCATTGCTGATATGTAAAGACCACAATAACTTTTTTTCACATTGCTGTGACTTTTATATTGCAGTTTGAATGTGTTTTCATGGTTGTCACCACTATAATTTATTCAAAAGAAGTGCTTGTATTGGTTGAAACAAGTGGTGTTTGTACTTTTTTTATTATTATATAGATAAATTAACATCACGCACATTTGTTGGTGACCTTGTCGGTTGCTGGTCATATATTTTTTCATAGGAATCTGCGTTAAAAGTCACCGAGCGTGGTGGAATTACATTTTTACACGCGTTTTTGCTTGGCAGTTGCAAATAGGGTTTTCTTGCATTCACGTATATTTCCTAATTGAGGAGGTAGTGGTCTGTAGCTGGTTCCCATGACACCTGTAACCCAGTTAGCACCAATCGCGATTAGATCGGTTCTCAATCTGACCCAGCCTATCATGATCTTGAGTGAAAACCAGTAAACGATGTCATCCTCCAACTCCTCTTGACATTTGACCTTCCTACCATTGTGTCTATAATCCACTTAAATGTTTCAAATGTGTGTGATAATGTAAATAGTGTAGAAAATGCTTACTGAGCTTATTAGCTGGCACCAATGTAAAATGACACACTGTGGTATGATGTCCTCCGGAGTTACGTATTTTTAGTGGGCCCAGATGTTGGTGGGAATGTTTGGGCTGTGTGGCTGAGTTTGAAAATGACATGGCCATGTCTAAAATGGGTCTCGTGCTTTGGGATTCCTTAGGACACACACCATGGCCCACTGCATAGATTGGATCTGGATTGGAAAGAAAGCATTCATGGGAGCAAGGCATTTGAGAACCTATATTTCACTTTTTCTATAACAGTATTTGATGTGCTGCTCTGGAGTATGGGGGATTTCACTGCAGTCACTAACATTTGCACAAATTCTATGGCCTTATCTTTGTCAATAAATACAATGTGACACCTGCAACTCGTGGTTTGTTACATTTAATACAACTTTAAGATACGATACAAAAGTTCAAATCAATGCATTAACATTTTATATATCGATGCGAAAATATCTTGCCATGTTGAATTTGTGTTTTGTTGTTAATCACTTGTTAAGTGTGTTTAAAAAAAACAATTTGTTCTGTATTAGATATATGCAGGTTTTCCAAACAGAAGCTATTGTATGTGTACATACTGCTTGTGGATAACCCCCCATGTCTGCTATAAGACTGACCAACAATTGTCCCAAGTGAATGCATTGCTTTGGGAGAAAAAAATATATATATCATGGAAGCTCCGTTGGCAAAACACTTCATCCACTACCATCCTGCTATCTCCATAAACGGCATCAACGTGTCTAGAATTGATCAAAAATAACAACAAAACTGCAGTGCATGCTCACTTGAGTGGACATTGTCTCAGTTTACATGTATGCATGTCCTTTGTCTCAGTGGCAATCTCACACCACATCGGACAGGTTTCTCCATTAGTGTGACACTACAGTAACAATGTACCCTCACTTGTGTTAAGCACTGTGTGCTTTTATCACTGAGAATGCTGTGGGAATTTTGTGATGTGAAATCATTTTTTTTTATCTTAGTTATTCTAGTTTGGGGATTTGTATTAGCAACGCGACCTCGGTATTTTGTGTAATTTCCACAGAAGATCGTATGTGCATACACGGCTGGGTTATTTAAAGGGAAGTTATTGACCAGTTTTGGCCATTGTTGCCTGTTCATTTTGAATGTTTGCAACTTTGTGTGTTTATATCTGTGTTTGCTAATTGGTTGCAATCTATCTTTACATCAATCTTGTACATGTATGAATGTTTTCAAATAAAGTTGAATTGTAAATTGCATACGATGTTCATTGACATGCTTTGAATACCCGTTCACATTTGTGGAAGTGTTACCTCAAGGATGGCTCTAAATGCATAAATATCTAGTATAAAATAAGTGAGGCCCTCAAAGAATGGCAGGATTCCAAAGCCAATCAAACATTGTGAGGCTAAATATATTTTGACAATCGTATTGGGCCTTATTATATAGATTGTTTTTTTCAATGCTCTTCCATAATTAAAATGCTATGATTTAATAATGTATAATGCGTCATCTGCAATAATGTGGGGCAGTTTTGATTTTAAGCTTTCGTGACCGCAGGAATCCATACTCTTTGGGTCTTTCGGTAAAGTCACGTAGGTCGAAAAATAATAGATCACGACGTTTCGGACGCAACACAAGCGTCCGTCATCAGTTTTCGCCTGGTGACGGACGCTTATGTTGCATCCGAAACGTATTTTTAGGATTATTTCACCATTAAAGTACTTGGATAAAATCCTAGCACAGCTTATGCATCTTCTGGACCAATCTTGTTCGAGCATCATTTGTTTTCTGCGAATGAGCAGTTTTGACTGAGTCTCGTCGGCAGGGTAGCTCGTTACATACTGCATGTTAACCTGACGTTACCGGAAAGAGCTGCATTTTTTTGTTTAGTTGGTCCTTCCCCCACCTCCCGTTCAGCGCGGTTGGCTATGTACGGTATGAAATAAGTTCAACATATTGAAGAGCACTCCACAAACATCATGTTGCCTATTCATCACGGTACGTAAACTTTGTAGAAAGTATGTTGCTGTCTTGGCTAATTACGAGTACTAAATTATTGGGACAAAAGTATAATTTTTGGTCAACCAAAATTTGAGCCTCCTGGACCAATGATTCCCAACAAGTAATTGCGTAAGCAGGTTTCCATTCTCTTTTGAGTCTCAGCAGTGTGGCCTGTTCAAATAAATGCTGTTGACGTCACGGACTCAAAGCAGTCCCAACTTTGCTTGCGTAAACAAATGCTGGTATTAGAAAAACACTGGTCCAGAAAAGCCCGAGGCTACATTTCCGTGTTAAAAAGTTTTATGGCAAAGAAAACCCACGATTTTATGTAAGATATAACCATAGACCGAGTTTGACTTTTATATTTGGGGGGGGGGGTCGCTTTGTCCCTCACATTTAGAACCACGGGTGCATATAATTAGATGTATTGTTTATCTTAATTGTAAACTACTGAAGATAATTAAATAAAGGTTCCAGTTTGGGCACGGGGAAGGAGCTACGCCCACCACCCCCCAAACTCCGACAATGGATATAACCCAGATTTTGTTAAGACAAATATTACACCACGTTTTGTACAACACACTCGTCTAAGTTACCTTTTAAGGTTGAACAGTGTCATACAGCAGAAATAATTTGTATTTACGTTTTCTTTATTAATATGCTGCTTCCAATAGTCTCGTGGTGGGTGCACATCTCGTTCATAAATGGAAAATTAGAGACAAGCCTTCTTGGTTCTTTCGGTAAAGTCACGTAGAAGGGAAATAATAAAATAAAACAATAAAATACAATTCTCACGACGTTTCGGCCACAACGCAAGCAGCCGTCCTTAGGTGAAGAACATTCAGACGTTGTCTTTTCGACAGACCTGTTCTTCACCTGAGGACGGCTGCTTGCGTTGTGGGCGAAACGTCGTGAGAATTGTATTTGATTATGTTTTACTTTTATTATTTCCCTTCTACGTGACTTTACCGAAAGAACCAAGAAAATGAATCCCTGCAGTCACGAAAGCTTTAAATCGAAAATTAGAGACAAGCCATTGAGCGATTGGCCATGCAGCCCAAACGATGAATCATTGTAAACCAATGTAATCCGCGCTCCTTCAATGGAAGCAGGAATAGCAAGACTACACGAGCTTTCTCCTGAATCCGTCTTGGAGCTATCAGAACTCGATATAGGAATTTAGCTCTTAAACATTGCCGTACGCAATAGCACATAATATTGGGCACCTTTAATGTGAAGGAGGATAACGATATCCGCAAGCGTCATCACCATCATAATAATGTATTTAATTTATATTATGTGCCCAAAACGTAACGTGCCATCAATATTCTCCTGGAGATGTGTGAAAAATACTGGACATCTGTAAAAAGAAATGCTTCATAGCTAATTGGATTCCTCCCGTTTAAATGGATTTTCTGATTCTGATTGGAGTTTTCAGCTGAGGGAACCCCCAAAGTGGCCTCTTTCCACTTAGGGGGGGGTCCCACTCGAGTGCCACGGTGGTGAGATGTAACACCATCGTCCTGTGTGGAGGAGGAGCTCGTGGGTTCAATCCCGACCCTGACGCCTCCTGTATATTTGGAGTTTGCGTCTCTCTCTCCGCGTGGTCGCGTGGGGTTTTTCTCTGGGCCCTCTGGTTTTTCCCTCCAACATTTAGAAACATCCGTTTCGAGTATTTGGCTACTATACATTTCCACATGATGAGTCACTTCGTTGTGCTATCATGCGTGGCCAGGTTGCTTCCAATTAAGAACTGCATAGCTTGGTGGGCCTTAACTGGTCAATTTTAAAAAAGGTTCAAATAACTTTCCACGATGCCCCCCCCCCCGCCCCGAGTGGCAAGCTGCCACTAAGGGGACCCATACGCTTAGGTTTTTTCGGTAAAGTCACGTAGGTAAAAAATTTAATTAAAATTAATAAAAGTAATAATAGAAATAAAATAATAAATCACGACGTTTCGGAGGCAACACAAGTCTCCGTCATCAGGTGGGACCGTCACAGCTAGCTTTTCTGTATCAAGTGGAGGCAAAAATTCCAAGATACAAGTTCTTAAATACAAGTTTTGCCAATTGTATATTTGACCCCCTAGTGCAGGGGTCGGCAACCTATGGCTCCGGAGCCGCATGCGGCTCTTTACGGGCTGCTTCTTGACGATATGTACGTATGTACAGTATGTACTCAGATGCATTGCGGCTCTTGAAATACTGAATTTTGTACCGAATTGGAAAGAAATAGCTCTTCTTGTTATTTTGGTTGCCGACCCCTGCCCTAGTGGCAGCTTGCCAACTCGGGGGTCACCTCGTGGCAAGCTGCCCCTCCCCCTGTCGGCGCGTCTGATTGGCGCGTGGCACAGCCACGTGCTCGGCTTTCCCACCAATGGCGAGCGGCGCCGGGGGTGGGGGGGGGGTGAAGGGCCTGGGGGGGTCGCCGCGCCTCTTCCTGTGACCGGCAAAGCGAGCGGCATCAGCGACCCTCAAAGCGCGCACGACGTTTCGCGTCCTCTAGGACTTAAAGTGAGTCGTTGTGCACCCAGGGACAGCCACCCAGACGACGGCTGTCAACCTGTTTGTGGGGAGAGGGAATTAAGCCGGATGGTCGGAGTTGCTGGTGTGGAGAGAAGGGGGGATGTTGGTTGACGGGAGCGCGCCCGAGGCCTGCCCGCCTAGGCCGCACCGCGTGTCTTTGATCGGCTTCGCTCGTGGTCACCTCGCAGCAATTACGTTGCTGTAAATGGTAATTATAGCCCGCTAGTTTTACTTAAATAGCGTAAGTTACGGCGGAAGCCAGTGTAAAAATAAAAAAATACGTCAGTGTTTTTTTTTTTTAAGACGAGAGTTTTAAATAGTTTATTTAGCGGACTCTGGATTCCCTGAATGGGCCTTTCGGAAGGGAATTCCACACTCGTGTATTATATAAACCCTTCTTCGGAGTAGTGGTCGACACGGGTGTATTCGGAGACGTTTCTAGCAATGCCCACCCCCCCCCTCCACAGCACAACGCGTGTGCTGTGAATGATGGCCACAACCCGTGTGCTGTGGAAGGGTCGTTGCCCGATGCGTCGCCGGCTGTCTTGTGGGTTTCATTCAAGGCAGAGTTGACGATTGTCGTTGAGTTTTTGTTCACATTTAGGGTCATGCTCATTGTATTAACGAACACTTAACCGTTGTCTAAAATTGTAAAGAAATGTACAATTGGCTAAAATAATAAATGGACCTACTTTGTATGTGTTTGTGGTTGTCCTGTTTAAATCGGGTCGTAACCGCGTGCGACGCATGATGTCCGACGTTTCGGTCCCAAGTACTGAAAGCTTCCGTGCCGAAGTTACCAACTCGTACAACTCTTAAAACACATTGGAGAGCTGTTGTAAGAAAATCCCATTCAATCCCAGAAATGTTAATCGATCAATCTTATACTTAATAGCCATAACTTTAAAATACAATTAAAATATCCTAGATAATATTTGTTTTTATTCTTGATCGTAAACCTTTGTATATTTTCCCTTTAAAAGCTGCAAGTTGTGAAGAGTGTGATTGTCATTCATTCACTGGCTAAATGAAAGCAGATGGAGGGACTTGGGGTTTGACTTGGGGATATATTCGTGTAATCTTTTTAAAATGTTCTCCGTATTGCATTATAACAGTTTTTGTTACAAAAGAGGTTTATTTTTGTTAAAGAATGTGTATGTAACCGATAATTTAAAGCATGACCGTGTGTTTAAAAGTTGAACTCAAACGGATATCACACGCGAACACAAACTCTGTGAAGTAAAACAGATTCCAAACGCACTTTGTGTGACCTGCCCTCTAGGAATATTGGCCACACACAGTTGAAAGGGAGTTGGTGATACGCAATCGGAACGTTGAGGATTAAGCATTCCAAAGATGTTACTGTTCTATTTAAAATGGAAAAATCATTAGCAACTGAGTCAACAACAATTTCGTAGAAAAGCAGGCGTGGTGCTCGGAAAACTAAAATTAAATTGGGTACAAAATGTTCCCCGGATTTTTTTGAATGTGCAAATATGTAAAACGAATCCACTTGGTTGCCAATAAATTAGAAATGCACTGTTGTGGGGTGCTGTAAACATGCACGGGGTTCGAGAAAGCTGGACATGTGTGAAACAGTGTCACCCTTCACGGTGCTAATAATAGTGCCGCTTCTCCCGGTGGGGTGGTGACTTGGGAACTAACAGATATCAGAAAATGTTGACAATACGCGTTGTTGGCACGTGTCTCTTTAGTGACACTTAAAAAAATCAGTTGACAAAACATAACTGATGTGTACGATGGCAATGGTGAGGATGGTGGACCCAACGGTGTTGTATATTAAAGGGGGGCTGTACAGTAATTAGATGCGCCTCATTTTCCTTAGTTACCCCACCTTGTGTTTCATGTTGAGCATTGCACATTGTATCGATGCCTATGCATTATAATTGTCGGAAGGACATTGTTAGAATTCAAGGATAGATTGCTTTTTTTTGTACCGTCCAAAGCTGCGGTCTTTCTTGACTTGATATCATTTGTGCTCGCCACTGATGTTATCCATGGCCTACAGTCGAACTTGGGTGGCCAGATTCATGGCGCAAGTGCGCTTTCTTGAATCACATTCTGCTGCCTGTATGAAAGCTTTGCTAACAGAGTTTGCGTGGCGGTCTTGTATTGCAGTGATTACCGAACTCCAATCCTGATTACCTTACCACGGTCCACCTTTCCACATGTATCGATCTCTGTTTAAAAAAAAGGTCTTTCGTTTAACGCTACATACAACTTATTGGTTGGTAAACACATTCCATGATAAAGGTTTTTGGGTTAGATCGCGTTATTTATAAATGTGTCGCAACCCTCCACCACCCGACACGGCCAATCAGTAAAAAATGTGTCACGTTGACAAAAGACAAATCGTTCATGACTTACGCCCACCGGTGTGTTGAAGAGTGAACATCATTTACAATTTTGGAGTACGACGTTTCGCTGGCAATTACATCCAGCATCATCGGGCCATTTGCGAGAATAGTGAAGCCCTCCACCTGCTCCCGGTCTTAAATAGAGCAGCAGGGTGACGTCATTTAACCCAATCAGGTGTAATTATATAGATTAGTAATCAATCGGGTGGTGGAGGGTTGCGACACATTTATAAATAACGCGATCTACCCCAAAAACCATTATTATGAATAATATTGGTCGTGAAAGCCTACATGTAACACTGACAAACATCCCAGATGACGTGGCAGGTGCTAATATGAATCGACATCACGCGAGACACTCGTGCGAACACCAGGTCCTTCCGAATTGGAATCAGTCATCAGGTGCATGCAGCACAGAGTAACTTTATTGGCATTAGCACGGAGAAGATTGGTGAACATTGGAAAAACCGGACCGTGGTGGGGCATGAGGACTTGAGTCTGTAGTAATTTATTGATTTTGTCGATGCCGTACGCTCAACTAAAAGCGTATTTCGCTGCCATACAGCTGTGAATAGCGCACGGTGGTGTGATGTTGACAAACAGCCGCTGGTGTTGTTTCTCACAACCCCTCCCCCCCCCTTTGTTGCTGGTTTGACGCAGAATGCGTTACGTGGCCGCTTACCTGCTCGCCACACTGGGTGGCAATGAGCAACCCACTGCCAATGACATCAAAAAGATCCTCGGCAGTGTCGGCATCGAGGCCGACGACTCCAAGCTCAGCAAGGTGGGAGCCACTTGGGCTGATTTTGCCCTCTAACTAGCAGTAGCATTTCGATTTGAAGCTTTCGTGACTGCAGGGATTCATCTTCTTGGTTCTTTCGGTAAAGTCAACGTAGTTCATTCAGACGCTGTCTATCCGACAGACCCTGTTCTTCACCTGAGGGACGGCTGCTTGCGTTGTGGCCGAAACGTCGTGAGAATTGTATTATTTTATTATGTTTTGTTTTTATTATTTTATTATCTCCCTTCTGCGTGACTTTACCGAAAGAACCAAGAAGATAGCAGTAGCATTGTTTATAATTGACATCACTTTTATAGCCAAATATGTTCGTGAGAATTTTGTTGTTTTATATTTTTATTATTTTATTATTTCCCTTCTACGTGACTTTACCGAAAGAACCAAGAAGATTAATCCCTGCAGTCACGAAAGCTTTAAATCAAAATATGTTCTTGTTATCGTCGATTTGTAAAGCACTCCTGGTTATTTACGATTATTTTTTTACTGTGCGTATGGTTCAAACATCTGCCAACCCAGAAACGTTTGTTTAACAAGCGTGATTGCTGATGAGACTCAGAAGGTCAAAACCGGTGCAGAATTTGCTTGCTATGAGCAAATTTTGCTGGAAAATATTGGTCTGGACAACCGGTGCACTAAAAAATACATATTTTTTTTATATGCGAAGACCCAAAAGGGAGGTTTGGTAATATATGTTATTAACTAATTAAAGTTCAAACGTTAGTAATAGTTTTTGTTCGATAGGAAGAAAGTCTCTGAGTGGAATTGTGTGGTTGTGCCAGTGCCCACCACCTGTAAAGGTGCAGGCAATTTAAATGAAGCTCTACTGTCATTGCGGCTTTTCGAGGCCATGCGATATGACACTGCCAAGTTTATTTTGGTGATCCGAAGCACTTGCGTCATTGACTAATAAGGGGTTCTGTTTCACGTTTGGGATTGCAGGTCATCAACGAGCTGAAGGGAAAGAATGTAGAGGAAGTGATCTCTGCTGGTAAGTGCAGTCAATATGAGTCATTGGGATGTCGCAGAGGTGATCCGTATTGTATCTTGCAGACGCGGTTATGGCCTTGCATGTGTTGACATCATTTGAAGCTTCGTACAGAAACCTTATCTTGGATTTATTTTGCATATTTTATTTAGACTAACGTAGTCTACACGAACCCACGTCATTTGTATGATGCTGCATGGTCAATTAACCCCCACGACCTACATGACATGGTGAGGCCCTCATCCGGCAGTGCATTGACAAAAGTGCAATGTGCTCTATGTAAAGGTTAATTATTTTTTAAAAAAGTAAAGCATTTCATTGTTTCGATTTAAAGCTTTCGTGACTGCAGGGATTCATCTTCTTGGTACTTTCGGTAAAGTCACGTAGAATGGAAATAATAAAATAATAAAAATATAATAGAATGGAAATAATAAAAATAAAACATTATTTAATGTTTTATTTTTATTAATTTATTATTTCCATTCTACGTGACTTTACCGAAAGAACCTAGAAGACATTTCATTGTTATAACATGTATTTGAATGTGCTTTCAATGCGTGCCTACTACCAAAAATGCCCACTGAAGGGAGCAGGCACCCTAGCCTTACTCAGCAGTAGCTGGTGAAAAGGTGTAGATTTCACTGCACTTCATACACAGCCTCGTTGACATTGTCTGCTCTCAGACCTCATATCGTAAACTGTGGATAGTAAACATCCATATGACCATCATCAGCATTGTATGTGAAGTGCTTTCACGTTTTGTATCAAACCTCTGTACACAAAGGTTTTAAATTTAACATAAACCAATTTTCTATTATCACTACATACATATGCACATTATCAATTCACAATGAAATACTGCAGGTGTAGGCAGTGAGCCGTGGAGCATTGTTATTCGTGTAGGGCAGCTTTAAGTTTCTTTAAGAGGAGGCCAACATTTTTAAAGTACGCATTTTCCATGAATATGCTAAATCCCTCTTCACATGCACATTCTTTTTGTTAAGGCGCTCTTCAACCCCCAATGCAGCTTATATATAAGCTCCTAGTTTGGTAGTGTCTCATTCTTCACCTGAAGACGGCTGCTTGCGTTGTAGCCGAAACGTCGTGAGAATTGTTTTATTATGTTTTATTTTTATTATTTTATTACTTCCCTTCTACGTGACTTTACCGAAAGAAACAAGAAGAAGATTTTTAAAGTACTTTCTCAGTGCTGATGCATGGTTGTATCTGTGCAGGGTTCACCAAGATCTCGTCCGTGCCGGGCGGTGTGGCTGTGTCTGCCGGTGTGCCCGGTGGCTCAGCCGCTCCAGTCACCGCTGGGGCTCCAGCCGCTGGTCAGTCGCCACTTCCAACCTCCCTCCCGTCGGCAACACCACAAATACACAACTTTACACATTGGGGCTGCTATTGCTGTTTTTCCCTTCGACTCTCCCTAACCTGACGCGGCAGTCGCCAGAATGTTGTGGAACATCGATGTTACATGTTGGAATTGCTTTGTATGGTGAAGACGTGGTTTGTGGATGGTGGCAAGGTGCTGGAACAATTGCATTATGCATTCCAAAAAATGTGGGGTTCCTTGTGGAATCCTTCCTGGTCTTTGGTCTAGTTTTTTATTGATACATTTTCATCTCAGTACTTAGTTGTTCTCCATAGATGTCTATCACCACAGACTTGCATTGTTCACTCAAGTAAAATTCTTTAAATGTCTGACCTTCATACATGTAATTTTCAGGCTTTTGTGTTCGCGCAAGCCATAATTATGTCAGGGAGAACTATAATTAGGCTGGGCAACTGAAACTAGACATGGTTAGTATTCGCCAGTACAGATGCAGCATAAAGTAAAACAAAACTTCGGTTGAATGTTTATCCCATCCCTGAGTAATTGTAGTTTTGGTAATGCCCAGGTGGGGTTGCTAACTTACGATTTTGACCAAAGGGGATTGTGCTCAAAGCCTCTATTTTCCCGTTTATTTTTGCGTTCTAGTAAATGTGTCTAATGGATCTGTTTCCCATGTCTTGCGCAGCTGCTGAAGTGAAGAAGGAAGAAAAGAAAGAGGAGTCCGATGAATCTGAAGATGACATGGGTTTTGGGCTGTTTGACTAGATACCACGCGCATGTCTGCCACCCCGAATAACATCAAAATAAAAGTGTGAAATAAACCTTCATCGTGGTGTATAATTCTATTCAAACAATAATATGATGGAAGATTATTGTAAAACATCAACTTTCCCTGCATTATTCATGCAAGTCAAAATAACATGTGATTTTCAGTTACCGAGTCGGCAGAACAGTTTATCCACACATGAATGATCGGCATCTTCAGTTCATTTGAACACGTGTGTGATTGTCATACCAGCTTCTTAGCCATTCAGGGTTCACGTAAAGGGTTGTTGGCGTTCGCTCTCTGCGTTCGTGACATTGATAACCGTGGTGGCAACATCAACAATGTGAGTGGAGTGGCTTTTAGCCAGCCGCTTGGCACTTCGCTGCCTATTTCCTCGCCCGTGAGAGGGAGGCAACAGCTCCGTGATTACCCAAACGGTCATGGCAGCCTTGTGTAAAGCTGACCAAATGTAAACACACGGCTGATTTAAATTGTACAAAATCGGCCAAAGCCCATTTCGTATAAATGGCAGGAACAGGACCCTGCGGGGTGGGCTGGTAGGAACGAATAACCAAACAATATAAACAATGTATTATTACACTTGTTTAGTCAGGAAAGCCCCACTGTAGGTTATTGTAGGGTCCTGCCAAGTGTTTGCAGTAGGGGGCGATGTTGCTACACCTAATCGGATGATACGAAGGGAGACTTTGAGGCCTATTTCTAGGCTTTAGGCCTAGCTGTAGGCTTTAGGTCGTTGTGAGTTATTTAATTTAAATGTTTTAATTATTAATGTAAAAGCTTGAAATTTAAATGTTTCTATTTTAAAAAATCAGGGAATGTAAACATCAACTCCCTTTCACACACGCGGGGGTACGATACGAAGGGAGAGTTTCAGGCCTAGTTCTAGGCTTTAGGCCTAGCTGTAGGCTTTAGGGCGCTGTGAGTTTTTTATTTAATTTCAAAGTTTTAATTAAAAGCTATCTCAGGGAATTATAAGGGAATGTTACACGTGTTTAGCCAGGAAAGCCTCAGTTTAAATATTTTAATTAAAAGCTATCTGAGGGAATTATAAGGAAATGTTACACTTGTTTAGCCAGGATAGCGTCACTGAGTCTAAAGGTTTTTGTAGGGTCATGCCAAGTGTTTGCAGTAGGGGGCGATGTTGCTACACGGACGGACGGACAAACGGACGGACGATATAATCTATTGCTGTCTGGTCCACTTCGTTCCTACCAGTATAAACATCCATACAACCAGTGGTGTACCAATCGGCACTTTTTACTGTTTGGAAAAACATAGAGTTCCTGTACTTGGGTAAAGGACCAAAGATAGTATTTTTTCAACAAACTTGCGAGTGTGTTTTCCCTCTTATCTCTGTTCTACCTCTCATACTTCTGTTTGCCTTGGCGTCTCTTCCCTTCGGCTTAGTCTCGATCACCACACCACGTGCTCCGGTGAGTTTTGTTGTCACAGCTGCTGTGTCCTCTGCGCTCTCCCTGCCCCCGCACCACGAACTGGTGGTTACGCAACACCCCAGCTTACAGTGATACAAAATGTCCTTGTCATTCTTCCTACCACATTCTGTTGAATACAAATACTAAAAAAACAATCGGTATTCAGTTGGAGTACCCCCTCCAGTCCTGTGCTACCGGCAATCCCATTGCCACCGCCGTTCGCCTGAGAAAAACAACGCTTTGATATACGATTGGCTTGCTCCGCTGTTGCTATACACAGAAAAATGCTGTCTTGTAAAAGTGGGTGAGAGTTCATTGAGGTTTCTTTTCTCTTCGGTTCATCTTGTCGTTCATGAACAGGTATTGCTCAGGTCCTGTTTGGTAAAACTTGCTAAGATACAAAAAAAATTCGCGTTCATAATTGCGGGAAAGATGCTTACTCGTAGGCTACTTAATTCCAACAACTTGAAAAATTTCAAACATAAAATCGTTTTATCATTCGGCGTGCCTGGGCATGTTCTCCTTCACGTGAAGTCGAAACCCTGAAGCGTGAACTGTTAATCAACTTCTAGCGGACAGTAAACAAGTACTCAGGTTTTTTTCGGTAAAGTCACGTAGATAAAAAAAAATAATTAAAAATTACTAAAAGTAAAAGTTATTTCTTAATTTTGGAGCTTTCGTGACTGCAGGAATTATTCTTTGGTTTTTTCGGTAAAGTCACGTATATTATTTTATTTTTATACGTGACTTTACCGAAAAAACCAAAGAATAAAAGTTATTTTTTTTATAAAATTTCATTAAAAATTACTAAAGGTAATAGTAAATTTTTATTGCATTTTTTAGAAAATTTAATGTAAAATTACTAAAAGTAATAGTAATTTTTTATTTTATTTTTTTACCTACGTGACTTTACGGGAAAAAACCTAAGAGTATGAATTCTTGCAGTCACGAAAGCTTCAAATCTAGAAGTAAACAAGTAGTCATGGCGCCTCCTTCCCATCTGTGTCTCCATATCATAAATTGTACAAGTGTTTTTGACACATCCCTGGGCCACACTGCCTTTGGGGATGCACCTAAGCATGCAGCATTTTGACACTCAGCGTCTCGCCAACGGGTCAGACTTCAGGGGATGCCGGCTCCCTCCCCTTCGTCGATATGGGTCGTAGTTCAATGTAAAGCTATATGTTGTACTGCGTGCATTAGACATGACAAGAGGACGGCGTGTTATTTCTACACTTCTTATCAGGGTAGATTGTATATCCAGAAATGCTCCTGTAAAAGAAGAAAAAAACACTTTATCCAAAGGGTCCACAGGATAGAGCTTAATTCGAAAACTCTTTATGAAAGTCTCATGAGATGGCGTCACATTTCGTTATATAATCGTTAATTATTATTATTTTCAGCCCTTTGGCAATCGACTAAATGGATGACTCATGGACGAAGTGGCAGGACCGGTTCAATGCGTACGGGACCATCCATTGAGTACGTTCGCATGGAGGGGGGGTAACCCAAATGAGTTCGCTTGCCTTTTGGGGGTCTACTGACAATGTACGTACACATTGGAAACGGGGCGGGGGGGGGTGTAAAGCCTTGATAATAATTTGTCTACATTGGCCTTCAAATGAGTTAGATAGTCCGGCGGTGGACTATCTGTTTGCTTAAACACGTCAATATTATTAATCCTTGATCGTTTCTGCGTGGATTAAATATCGGCCGTTCTATAGGATTCGGGGGGGGGAGTTAAGTTGTGACATGTTTGCGACATACCCAATGGATGGCCCCTACCGCTGCATCACCCACGACGTTATCAAAATTTTCTTCAAACATAACGAACATTTTTACACTTAAGTAACACGGCATGCCATGTTGCCGAAGCATTTTACGTGATAAACACTTAACCACGCAGGCCTTGCGTTCTCTGATCTGCACGTGAAAATAATGTAGGCTTTAAGTCGATTTGGTCGATTTGCCTTCCTGAACATGCGTCAACTCTCACGCTCAACAAATTACAACAAATTACTCGGCGATGCTGCTGCATTGGCAGTGGCGCACAAGCAGCAGCAACAACGACAAATCAACACATGCGTGTCAATGGACGTTTCGGGCAATGGCCCTTCTTGATAGCACATAGATGATGTATGTGCTATGAATAAGGGCCGTCGTTCGAAGCGTCGCCAAGGACATATTTTATTTTGGTCGGAGACTGTGTGTCGTGTCGGTTCCATTTCAAAAGACACCTTGGGCAATTTCCCTGCGGTTTTCCCAAACCCCAAGCACGCTGCTCTCTCGCCTTATCTGAAGCCCCACAGATCACACACGCGGAGTTCCTTCCACCCACACATCGAATTTCGTTCACGATGATTCCTGCGTTTGTGTGTGGGGGGGAGGGGGGGCAGTCAAGGGATAACATCTCAATTCCTTAAAACTCGGGTTGTCGAACGACAGCTGGTAAAGCGGTAACTGCTTTTAAGAATCGATTACCGGCTCCGAAAGTCAGAAACCGGTAACCGTTTCCAGTGGAATATTTCTTTTAAAAAACGAATGCACCGTATGGAACCCATGAACCTACAAACCGCACGGTGGCCTACGGACATGTGTCCTCGTTTCTCAGTGGAAGGATAAAGGCGCGGCCCTCCAATGGCTTTCTCGCGGCACTGCTAGCGGAAGATGTCCCCCTCGAGAGTTCCAGGGGACATCTGGACTAGATTCGACCTTCCACGCTGACAAAAACGTATTGGAAGAGATGGCAGTGCCCACACTTTAACCCAGCCACGCGTGACCTCCCATCGACGACATATGCGGTGTGTTCCCAATCGCAGGACACTGCTGTTGTATGGACAGAGGCAGGGAAGGGTTTTAAAAAACTCCCCAGTGGTTCAACTCCCGTGTTGGGAGGTAGGGTAGAACTGGTGACTTCTCGATTGCAATTTCAGTGTGATGATCTTAATTTCGCAGTTAGAAAGGTACTGCCTTTATGTTTGTTGCTAGAATTTTTTTTAATGTGTGACAACCCGTTTCTTTTTTAACCGGCGTTTTATTCAGATAGGGCGAATTCAAAACACCCTGCTAATTAAAACATTCCTGCGGAGGGAGCTGGTAGGAACGTTGGGTTGCTCAGTCAATGGCCAGGGTCAACGGCGGCGTGGTGTATTCCGCAAATATGCCCGACTGTGAGCGCGGGCACAAGCCGGCGTGAGTAGGTTAAGCGTTGAGTTTTATAAGGGCACCACGGGGTGACCAGCCCCTCCCCACCCAGCCCCACCCCTCCCACCCCCCACTCAGCCCCACCCCCCACACGGTTTTTGACCCAGCCCCCCCCCACACTCCCCACCCAGCCCCTCCCCACCCTCCCCTCCCCACCCAGCCACACCCTCCCCACCCAGCCCCTCCCTGCACGATGGACGGACACAATAATCCCCTGTGGGCTGGTGTAACCAGGAGGTTTCTACCAGTACAAAGCAGTTGCTCACTACACAAGGTAATCCACCAACAACAACCCAAAAAACACTTAACACATTCGTCAATAGCAGCCTTAAAAAGAACACAGATATGTGATCGGCGACGTTTCTGGCAATGGCCCTTCCTCATGGCACATAATGATCACAGTAATGAATAAGTGGGCATCTGTGGAGAAGAGCTTCATAGCTCATCGCATTCCTCCGGTATAAATACATATTCTGATGCTGATCATTCATCATCAAGTCGCTGGGAGATTGGTGGTGTAGGGTTGCATTTCCATACCCCCCTCCCCCGTCCTCGCAGTGAATGGAACGCGTCCCAGACGAGATGGAGCGATGCCGATCAGCGCGTGTGCGGGCTATTAAGGTGGATTGTATGACAATTGCAGGATCGGATTAACCATGGCCGATGTAACATAACAAAATATATAACACACATGTCCAACAGCCTAGACCAGGGGTCGGCAACCAAAATAACAAGAAGAGCCATTTCTTTCCAATTCGGTACAAAATTCAGTATTTCAAGAGCCGCAATGCATCTGAGTACATACGTACTCATCGTAAAGAAGCAGCCCGTAAAGAGCCGCATGCGGCTCCGGAGCCGTAGGTTGCCGACCCCTGGCCTAGACTGTATGTAGGTGACTTGTGCGCGTGTTTTTTCCCCAGCAAGGATTTTAGATTTGAGTAGAATGTTTTTTTTTATTTCCCCAGTTGGCTTCGCCTCTTCTCTCAACCTCATCAGCAATGGAAGTGGCCCCTTTATGCAAATGTTGCTTCCTGCTGCTGCTGGCTGCTGTTGCTGGCATTCCCGGTGTGAGCGAAAAGAGCCTCCCTCCATTCCTTTGTGTCGGAAGAGATCCGCTTGTGTTGTGGGGGTGGGGCGATGTGGGGTGGGGGGCACAGAGGGCGTAGCGGTGGTGGTGGTGGTGTGGGGTGCCGGCAACACCCACACAGCTGAAGAGCTGGAGGCACGCGTGACGCCACTCTCGGGGTGGGAGTGTGTGGGGCAGCAGATTTCGGCTGTTCAGAGTTCACATTGCGGGTGTCTTAGAGACACTCAGCATTCCACCTCGGCTCTGCGCAGACAGACACAGACACACGCGCACACACAGACACATCAGCGTTTGGGGTGCTCCACCTACTCAATATAATTCATATTCGAGTGTAAGATACACGCTCTACATTAACACACCCACACACACCGGTGCATGTACATCACCGACTTACACAACAAGGCGGCGAGGAGGCGGAATCATATGCTGGGGGCTCCCTGCTGTTTCGCACGTGTTTGTGTGTGTGGCATTAGGGTGGCTTTTTTGTTTTAAACCGGCCAGGGCCGTGAAAGTCGAATTCATTACGTAATAGACAAGCAACGCTGCAAATCCCCTTGCCACAGCAGAAAAGATATACATTCGCACACGACAGTATATATACACACACACATCTTCTGTGCGTGTGCCGACAGCCTAAGTTATATGTTGTGCATCAAACATAACTGGGGTCACCGACAAGAGGCGTTTGGGCATTCACTCGAAATTCAGAAGTAGCACCACCATCAGCAACACCATCAGCACCACCATCAGCACCACCATCAGCAGCACTTCAAGGTCTCGAGCAAGCGTCGCGATGCTGACCCAGGACTCCGGCTGGAACTTCTCGTTCGCGGGATGCGGCTTCCTGGGGGTCTATCACATCGGGGTGGCGAGCTGTCTGCAGCAGAGAGCCCCACACGTCGTCAGCGGGGCCACTCGGGTCTACGGAGCTTCGGCCGGAGCTCTCACGGCGGCGTCTCTGCTTGGAGGCGCCTGCCTCGGTGAGTTTGGTGGGTTGTGGTGGTGGTGGCCGCTCGGTGTTGGGACACACGGAGTCACGAGGTGGGCCCTATCGGTCACGGTGCTGGGTGGTTGGTGGTGGTGGTTGAGGTTGGTGTGATGGTGGTTGTGCGCGTGTGATGATGATGGTGGTGGTGCTGAGTGTGGTGATGATAGTGGTGCTGGGTGTTATGGTGATGATGGTGCTGGGTGGGGAGATGGTTGAAGTGGTTGATGATGGTGCTGAGTGTGATGATGATGGTGGTGGTGCTGGTTGTGAAGGTGGTTGAGCTGGGTGTGATGGTGGTTGAGCTGGGTGTGATGGCGGTTGTGCAGGATATTATGGTTGTGCTTGGTGATCATGATGGTGGTGGGTGTGATAATTGTTGTGTTGGATGGTTGATATGATGATGGTGCAAGGTATGGTGACGATGTAGGGTGACGATGACAGTGCTGGAAATGATGAACGTGGGGGTCTCTCCTTTGTGTTAAAGGGTTGCACACGATGAGCAGATGTTGGCATTGTTCAACTTTTGTATAGCCTCATCATCGTCATCCACTGTTTATCCACTGCTGGATGAAGGTCTCTGCACGCAGTCGCCATTCCACATGGTCCTGCGATGCCAAAATCCGTCGCTCTCCTGCCCATGAGCTGATCTCACCACTCCAACTTCGTGGTGATGGTACGCTCAGGCACGTTTTAGTTTTGGTCACCCTTTCATCACCATTCCCATCCTAGTTCCTAAGCAATCTCAGGACTAATCCGCTGCATAGGATGTTCCGGGCATTTGTGTGCTCAACTGCTCTAACGCAAAGTTCGGTGTTATGAGGGTTTTGTTTTTATTTTTGAGGCATATACTGTAATGCAGTTTATTTTTCGGACAGCATTGTGTGATTATAGAATGTTAATTAGAAATTATCTCCAACAAATGACACCTCGCTGAGAATATTCTAAATTAACCAACCAAGAACACGCTGTTCCCCCAGATTCGAATGAAATTGGACCTCCATCGATCTGCTAAACGCTATCAGCCTGTATTGGTTAGTTGAGTGTCAAATTAAAAGTTCAACAATTGACCTCCATGCTCACCGGGTTCGACGGTGGTTTCTCCTTGCAGAGAGAGAGAGGGTACCTTTTCTCAGTTGCATGTCTCCTGGTTTCTAAGCCAAGGGACGTTGACCAGTTGACATTTTTACCCATTCGGTTAACTTTTTTGTTGTTGACAATCTATCACGAAGTCTGTCTGCTCGGCTGATGTTCTTTCTGAGTGTGGTCAAAACGAAGTTCGTGCTCGAAGTGCGATTCGAGAAATGTGAGGCATTTGACCTTTCTTATGGTGTCATTTCTCATGGCAACCGGTGTTTAAAACGAGACTACAGCGTCTAAAACGAGGCGCCCCTTGGAACAAAAAATCCACAATCTGCTGCCCGACAAAAAGAGTTCCCATGCAGCAGCGTGTGTTGTGTACATACACTGCACAGATATTAAACAAACAAAAATGTTCTGCACTGCAGCTATGCGCAGTTGTTTTACATAATAGAAAGGTTAGAATTGGGTAGTTTGACCAAATTTTATTTTGCTGCATGTTTCTACGTGGGTCTTGAGTTTAACCGGTCGCTGTGTATATGTGGCACCCAGTGATAGCGCATTGATTTGCCTTTACATTTTTTGACTTAATTTCATTTTTCTTTTTATACATTTGTATTTTACCAGGTAAGGCCCACCGAGTTATATAGCTCTTAATTAGAAGCGACCTGTCCATACATGATAGCTAAACATAGTGGCTTATCATGTGGAAATGTATCGCAACCAAATGCTCCATGGACATGCTTTGAAATGTGGAGGGGAAAACCAGAGGACCCGGAGAAAAATCCACGCGACCATGAGGAGACACGCAAACTCCAAATATACAGGCGTCAGGGTCGTACTCACGACCTCCTGTATACCGGACGACGGAGTTAACATCTCGCTACCGTGGCGCCCAGAAGTACATGCCCAAGGTGGCGTGGGGGAGCATTCATCCAGCAGTGGATGAACAAAGTGCTGTGAATAGCCCCCCATGACTCCACACAGCATGGTGATGGCCCGCATCCACATTGACGAAAGTGCCCTTAATGTACCCTTCGGGAACACGACGACTTTAGACCACAAGGACAATGCTATTTTTAAATCCTTTATATTAAGTTCGCTTGCGTGCTTGCTTGCGTGCTTGCGTGCTTGCTTACGACCGTAGCAAATCTTTCGGTCGTTTTTTAACCCACTTCCCGTGATCCAATCGAGCTGACATTTTCCACACAGACTCGTTGTGACAGACAATTAATGTTCGTGAAAAAAAAAATTCAAAAATTCTACACTTTTTAGGCAAAAAAAATTGATTTTACATTTATTAAAATAGAACTCATTCATGGCTTTGGCTGACCGTCACAGTATAGGAGCCCAGAGCGTAACCCCTCCACAGGCCGTGGCGGAGTAGCGCAGTTGGTAGCGCCCTCGCTTCCCATGCCAAAGGTCGCGGGATCGATCCCTGCGTCCTCCACAGGCGAATATATTTTAAATCCTTCATATTAAGTTCGCTTGCTTGCTTAGGACCGTGCAAATCTTTCGCTCGTTTTTTACCCCACTTCCCGTGATCCAATCGAGCTGACATTTTCCACACAGACTCGTTGTGTGTGACAATTAATTTTCGTGAAATTTTTTTTTCAAAATTTTACACTGTTTAGGGAAAACAAATTAAATATTTAATTACCAATTGCTTAATACTGGCAGACAATCATCTGACCCATAGATTGCAGCCATCTCAAGCCAGAGGACAAGAGGACTCTAGCCGCCACGCATATAAAGGATTTAGAGTGAAAAACTTAGTTTTTACGGGTTTACTTGTTTACATTGCAGTCATACATAATTTAACCACAGCACGTGCGTCTTTGTTGAAGGTGGACTTCTGCAGGCCCTCTCGCTGTTGAGCGGTAGGACAACGGCCGTGGCGTTGTTACACTTTAACAGGGGCGCATCTTGTGTCGCGATCACTATGGCCTGCCACTGTCGCGACGCCTTTGGAGATCGCCTTCCGACGAGAAGGCATTGACCCCCCCCCCCATTCCCGCGTGGCGAAGCGAGGAATGTCGATTGACGTCTGCGCACACAAAAGGTGAAAGGTCACCCGCGTGAGCTCCCGACTTGCGTAGCCCCGCCCCCCGGGGACACGCGATGGCTCGCTGCCAGGGTGCGCCGTGATTGGTGGAATGTGGTGAGTGGGGGCGGGGTTTAGTGCGGGGCGTGGGAGGGTTACTTTCGGCCATGTGGAAGGAGGTTAAAGGGCACCACAAACCCAACACAGCACACGACCCCATTGGTAAGGTGGGGGGGGGGGGGACTTTCTGCCACCGTGACGGTGGCTCAAGTGCCGGATTATCCTCGGAGCAAAAGTAGCTACGTATGAGGAATAGGGTTTTTCCCATTTTTCTGGCAACAAAACAGCTGTGTTAAGATGTTAAAACACCAAACTTAAACTTTTTACAAGGAATCATGTCTGCATTAACCACAATGCTTGTGGTCAGAATGCAAACATAAAAACCGCACTCTGATAATATATGCATTGTCTTTGAAACTGATTGGTCCACACCAGAAAGAGCTTTCTCTTGAGCCTCGTCTCAAAACGGTGTTAGACCAGAGGACTCCAAAAAGCATTCTGACCACAAGTATTGTGGTTAATGCAGACATGATTCCTTGTAAAAGGTTTTAGTTTGGTACAACACTACAATTTTAACACCTGTTGCCAGAAAGGGGAAACCCTATTCTCATTTTGGTACTGGCAAAAGAGGTCCCATGATGTAGTTACATATGTAGTTGCTACGGGCCCCGCACTTTCAAGCTATCGATTCCGGTTCAGTGAATCTGCACTTGCTCTATTACTATAGTACTATACCACCTTAAACTTTTATGAACGACTGGGTGTTTAAGTTTAGCGATTTGTCGTATTATCTGGCTGTATAGCAAATGAAAAAATACGATTACTTTACAAGTTACAAATTTTTATATTTATGTGTGGGTTTTTTTAATTTAGGTCCTCTTTACAACATGCTACCGGCCCCGCTCTCGCTTAATCCGGCACTGGGTGGCTCGATCAAAACACTGCTGCTCGCAAGTGGTACGATATAAACATTTCCCTTGGAGGAATCTGGCAGTTGTACTTGCCACGGTCGCTATTTTGGTCATCGCTGTCATAATTCTATGGAGGTCTATCATTAGACATCAACATTGTTTAAGCGAATTAACATTATTTCTCTGCCAGGACTTTAAAAAGGACACGGACAGAGACCCCCTTCGGACGGCCACATTCTATGTTTTCTTATTCGCCGCAAGCAAGATAAAAGGCTGGCGAATGTCTTCTTTCTCTATGTGGTGTTCGTAATGTTGGTGGTCTGCTATTATAGTGTAGTATAACACTGTGGCCTTGATAGAAAAAACATAGACAACATTTCAGGCAATGGCTCTTCTTCAAAGCCTGAATAAATAAAAAATTTCAATCAATGAAAAAAAATCTAAATCATGTAACAAAAGCAATGTTCTTGCGATGAAGTAGGACCCTTGCCCAAAACGTCGCCTTATATTTTTTGAAGGAAGCCTGATTGACAAATGTTAATTGGGCGTTTGCACCACTGTCAATACAGCATCACCCTCAGACTGATCCAAACCGTAGTAGATTACTGGTAGCTTGCCAAAGATTATAATAACCTTTATACTCGAGCTCTGAGTATATAATGCCTATTCTTAGGTTTTTTCCGGTAAAGTCACGTAGGTAAAACATCAAAATTAATGAAAATATAATGCCTCCCATTGTGTCCCATGTTCTGCTCCGTCTTTCAGCAGCAAGCGTCTGTTAGGCATCTTTGGATTCAGGGTGATTCTCCAAATATGATAATCGAGGTGCATCGATGAATATTGCTTCTTAAGCTAACGGTATGTTAACTGAATCGTCCATGTAATATATCGTCATTTATATCTCGTACACGTTCGATGCAACGGGCTAATTTAACTTCTGCAGCTGCTATAGGACGCTAGATTCACCACAATATAAAAATGAAAAATCTTGAGTTGGATTGTGGGATGGGGGTGAGGGTGAATTTTGAGCTTACACATCTCCTGAATATAAATAAGAGGAAAAATGCTGAAGCATTTGCCGACGAGTCCCGTGAGCATGAAGGTCAATTGTTGAACTTTTAATTTGACACTCAACTAACCAATACAGGCTGATAGCGTTTAGCAGATCAATGGAGGTCTAATTTCATTCGAATCTGGGAGAACAGCGTGTTCTTGGTTGGTTTATTGTGACGCGTCGTTGAGTCGCACCATGATCGCACTCGACCCGCAGGGGCGCCGGACTCCGTAGCCCTTCCAAACTACACGTGCTCGTGTGAGATGTAAATCAACAGTTTGAGCAGCCCCACAGCCACTGTCATTCGGCGTCTAGTTTACTCCAATTAATTTTGATGGTGACCTTAAGACACAATGCACTTCTTGAGGAACTGATGATAGTTGCTGCATTATGCTTTGTGGGTTTTTTTACACAATTTTGCGTGTTGAACTTGTAGTTTTGGGGCCTTGCATTATTATTCTGTCATGAGGGTTCATTTTTTTAAAATCAACATTTACATATTTTATTAGGAGTTCAAATAACTTTCATGCAACACTCTACATGTGTGTGGGCTGTGTGTCTGAGATACTCCCTTTATAGGTTACGGCCCAGCCTTCATGACCCCTCGATGTCCAACTTTTCATGTTTACCAAGCTATTTACCGTATTTAATGTTGAACTCTCTGCTATGAATAAAGGGCTATTGCCTGAAGCGTCAGCTGTTATCAACGTTTTCCTTTTTCGAGCAGTGCCATTGATGAACGTTTTGGGTTTTTGTTATTCGTGTTTGTGTACCATTGTCCGATTCAGCAGTTCGCTGGGTCATGTAGCCCACATGCCCAGGCACAGCATGCCTAAACAGATTTTGTTCGGCCGGATAGAGGGGGCTAAATGGACACGACACGGGCTAGAGAAGAGATGGAGTGATGTGGTACAAGAGGATGTGGAGCTGAGTGGACTTGCCGATGACTGGTACCAGCAGTGTCAAGATCGTCCTCTATGGAGGAGGCTCGTAAAGGACGCGACTGGGCAGTTGGAGGCTGTCGCCCTCCAGCAACAACGGAGGGCAGAAGAGCGACGCTCACAACAACGAACGAAGCGCCGGGCGGCTAAAACACAGAAAGTTGGCGCAGTAGGGGGCACAGGTGGTACATCGGCCAGTCGTCTCAGTCGACCCGTGGCATCTGGGTCTGCCCATGACCTCCTGCTAGCGGGCATTCGACAATTCATGTGGCCTTAACATGCACATAGCCTGGCACAGGCGCTGTGGTGACATCACCACCACTTAGTGGCGAATGGCGGTTGTTGTTGGTAAGCTCTTAGGTAGGGGGGCATGCTACTCTCTTGAGTTGGTCCACCTAGAAATCTGCACCGTACGCACATTAATCACCGGACTGGTTACAGCCTTTGGAGCAGTTTTGTCAGTTTCACTGGATCGGCCCAGGACTGCCAGATAATGTTGGAAACTGGAAAATCGCGTGCCGGATAATCGATGATCAAATGTATTACTTAACTTTTTTTGTCAATTTATGAACTTCCACCAAGTGTGTACCCTGACTTTTGGATTCATAAACGGGGAACGCCCGAGTTGCGTGCATGTGCTTCTCGTTTGTCGTAATTTCCTGGCATAAAACTATCTGTCACATTTGTGTAAAATATTAAACCACTGTGGTGACGAATGCCAACTCTAGGAATTATATTGCTTCCTGCCAACAAAGGCAAAGGATGAGGGATTCGGCTGGTGAGCCAAGCCGGCAGCGTCCTCCAAGTTACTGTTTTCATCACAATGCTGACACGACTGGGAACGAAATTAGACTTGGTGCCAACCCAGATTTCTGAGCTGCCCATCTATATATATAAAATCGCGAATCTGTCTGTCTGTCTGTGGGTCGCCGGACCATACGCAGTTTCATTGGACGGCGGTTGCCCCTGGCAACGGGTAGAGACGCCTTCGCCGCGGGGTGGACGCCATTTTTAATTCCCGTTAAAAATAGGCGCACGCATTAACACACGCCTCTGAGGTAAATTCATCAAAGTTTCACGTCCTCTTCACTCCCCCCCCACCACAATGTGTGCAATTACTATTATAGGGTCGGTAGATTATAAAATTATAGCGATTAGACAGTATTATTGTAGCGCGTGGGGGGGGGGGGAACGGCACCCGTACCCAGCCTCTGCCGGGTGGGCAATTTAGGCGAGGCCGGAGGCTCTGCACGCTGCTAGGCCTCGACACCCACCACGCGACTCTGAGGTAAATTCATCAAAGTTTCACGTCCTCTACAGAGTTGTGAGGGAGGGAGAGTGGTGAGGGAGGGAGAGTGGTGAGGGAGGGAGAGTGGTGAGGGAGGGAGAGTGGTGAGGGAGGGAGAGTGGTGAGGGAGGGAGAGTGGTGAGGGAGGGACTCAGCCTCAAAACGAGTAACTGGTGTGGCGTATTAACATCGCCACTGGGGAGACAAAGGCGGCCGGGCGTGGTGGATCCAAGTCCCAGGCGAAGCCGGGTACTTATGCTAGTGCATTCATAAAAAACGTCTTCTAAAGTGCAGCTGGTTAATTTATTCTTAGTACAGTTCTCATTGACCGCACAAAATAGCCAGCATAACAATTTTAGCTAATTCCACCACTGATAAATATATATTTGTTTTGATTTACAAGCAATCTTTTTTTTACGGAATATAAAACGTGTGTGCATTTCAAGAGGAGTTCTGTGATGTTAATATTTTGGCACGGTTCATTGACATAAGGTGGCATTACACCACAGTGGTGGAATCTCATCATGTGACATGGCACCGATAGCTCGCGCAGAATACAATTGAGGGGGAAAACATATGAGTTTGCATGATGAGACTTAAATTGGGTCTTACAATCACATTGATTCAATGTCTAGACTTGTCTGCCCCCAGCAAATCAATCGGCTTACCAGCCAGTGTGGTCAACTCACCAGTGTCTGTATTCTAGTCATTTCATGTTTAATGTCATGAGTGCATTGGTTATCTTCTGCAGTAACCACAGCTTCACGACCACAATGCCTAGAGGTCATGGCACTTTGTGCACAAGCAATACGTGGTGATATTCAAATAATTATGCAGGGACAGCTTCTAAATGATCGCGTTCATATTTAAATGGTTGTGTTTACGCATGTGCCTATCGGTTAGCACAACACTTACATCTCGGTGACCCGGGTTTGATCCCGAGCCCTGCACGACGTTGCTGGGATCGTTGATGCCTTGCTTGGGCCTCCTCGATGTTGCCGCAACTTAAAACGAGGGGCCTGCTTTAGCTCTGGTGAGACAATGATGGATGCGTGGTTGGATGTGTTTGGTAAAAACATGCCCCAGCATTCTGTAAGGCCAAACGTGTCTGGTTGACAGCACGCCTGTTCGTACGGTATGTACTTTGCCTTAAAATAGAATTTCCGTTCGTGTGATTTATTAAATTACCTTGTTTTTGCTTCCTATGTACTTTTGGGCACCCACCAATTACCAGTGGGGATTGAAGCTGTGGAGCACATTGGGATCATCTAAAATCGCACAACAATGGGGTTTACAGCATTGCCCTTTGCTGCCCTGCAATCCCTGGCACAACCTGGTTTACACGTAGCAGTCCCTCAAGCATCCTCCAGGCTTAGCTTGTGCGATCCGATCAAACTAAACTATACTAAACTGTTTTTTATTTCACTAGGTAAGGCCCACTGAGCTATATAGCTCTGATGAGATCGGGCGTAGTAGCAGACGAACAACAACGCTGGTCGGTTGTTTTATTTTCCTCTGTAACCCCCCCCCCCCCCGCCGTCTCGAGCAGGCGAATGCTGCGCGGACGTGATGGAGCTCGCTCGCTTGGCGCGGCGCTCGACCCTGGGTCCGCTGCACCCGGCCTTCCACATCGTGAAGATCATCCGCGCGGGACTGCGGCGCGTGCTCCCCGAGGACGCCCACCTGCGCGCCGCCGGCCGCCTCTGCATCTCGCTGACCCGCGTCTCCGACGGCCACAACGTTCTCGTTTCGGACTTCGCCTCCAAGGAGGAGCTCGTTCAGGTGGCTCGCCTCGCGCGCTCTCACATGCTCGCTCGCTCGGCCAGAGATCGCTCGCTCGCTCGTTCGCTCGGCCGGAGATCGCGCGCTCGGCCAGAGATCGCTCGGCCGGAGATCGTGCGCTCGTTCAGCCGGTGACGGGTCGGTCAGTGGGTCCGTTGTCGGTTTATTTTTCAGTCTTCACTCACTCGGCCGGTGGAGGTTTTTAGGGCAGTTGGTCGGCCGCTCGGGGACCAGTTGCTCGCTTGGCCACTAACGATTCAGTCAAAGGTTTGGTTGCTTGGTTGGTAATCGCTCACTCAGCCAGTCATTTTGGTCAGCTTATCAGTCATTAAATGCCTGCTTAGCCAGTGTTTATTGGTCGGTTATCACTGTAGCTCGACAGCCACTCGTTGGATTGCTCTTTTACGGAGCCTTGGCTTGGTACGGTGTTTGTCCTTGCATGAAAGTTGTCAACTAAGTGACGGTCATGGTTGCACGTTTGCCACATCTTAACCGTAACATTTTAAATTCTAAGTGTAACATCGTGTCATTTGTAATATATTGTGCTCCATGGACAGTACACATTGTGTACGCAACCCAGTTGTCAGAGTGGCATGACAGTGAAATGTGAGCACATGTCACTCTAATTTACTATTGTGTCATTATTTCTAATTATTTCCGCATGGCATCACGTTGCGAAATTGCTGTTCGCTGCATTTCATTGTGTAAAGTTTCAGCAAACATGTGGCTCTGTAACCAGCTGCGTAGAGCGGCTCAAAATGTTGTATTACAAAATCTACAATTACGGGAAGAACTACTCTCACGTGTTCTTCTTGCCGTCTTTTTCAAAGTGCCGCACCATAGCAGCTCAATGCGATAAGCTTTAACTTACGAATTACTCCGGCTCCTTGCGTACACAGTGTACGGAGGTGATACCCCACCATAGCATTCCATAGCGAACTACAGCCATTGTCGGGCATCCACAGCCCATTGCGACATGACGAGCAATAGCTCGATGGCTCCCTATGTTCCGCTGCATTGTGGGGAGTGCCCTCGTCTCTCGGCATTTGTCTCCTGGCAACGCTAAGCAACCCTGACTAAGGCGTTCTTATCTCCCTGCCCTGTGCTCTTCCCGTAGGCACTCATCTGCAGCTCGTTCGTGCCCATCTACTGTGGCATCATCCCGCCCACCTTCCGCGGAGTGGTAAGGCCGTGCTCTCACTCCCCCTCAACACTGGACTCTCTCTGGAAATGAATCGCCACAGCCTTGGGATGCGCCCCATGTCTTATTCGAAATTTTTCCTTTTTCGCTTCCTCTAGTGCATGCGCAAAAAGAGGGTGAGGATATATTCCAAGCGGTTTTGTCACGCATATTAGCATGGGGCGGGGCTCATGTCCTGTTCACAGCTCCGGGTCAACGGTGGAAATTTCGACATTCCTCTGGAGTGGGCGAGTTGATGCATAGGGCAGCCACTGTTGTCCCACAGTGTGGTGCGTATTCGTTTTATCAACCCCGAAGTGGTGAGAAGGGTTGAGTAAAAACAATCAGGGTCATAAAAATATTGTTAAATTCACATATTTGCATATTTTGCGTACCGCATGAAATATTCTGGTCGTTTTCAGCACTCATTGGTATTTATGGTGAGCATACGTCGAAGTGGAGTGGCGGTGGTACAGAGAATCTGGCATCGTGAGCTTGATTTCCGTTTGTGGCTAGCGCCAGCATGGAATTAAATCTGAACCGGTCCTGAATGCCCCCTTCACAGTCCAGGACTGGCCAGCATGGTGAAATATTGTCGGATAACCTCCTTTACCAAGACGGTGTCAGAAGGCCTTCAGCCAAAACTACATTGTCAAAGGTCTATACATACATTTAAATTATTAATGCGGCTATTAGGCTAATTCATTATGGGTTCAATAATTTGAGGCATTGAGGATATAGTATATTAACCCTGATGCATCTGTGTTCAAGCTAATCTGAGCATTCGTGCAACAGAAAATCTAAACAAGTCGGATTGAACAGGAAAAGGGCATAGCGTGGCGAGAGTCGGGTACAGGGAACATTTTGAGAAATCTTCCCGCCCTCTTTGGCGAACGTGCAGAGATGTTATCAGCATCTGTGGAGCAAAGTGCGGCTGATTTGGCGCTGTAATCAACACCACGTACAAATTGTGCCAGGGCCGAGTGGTCAGGGTTGCAAACTGGAACTTGGCATCGTTCCACGGGGGGGGGGGGGGGGGAGAGGCTTTCGCTCTCGCGCGCCGTGACGAGCGAGCTGCGATTGGCTCCCCCGTGATCGCCAGACGCTCATGTGACGCCTTAGAGTTGCGGTGGCAACGTGGGTCTGCGCTCTCGTGGAAATTACTGCGCTGAAACGCCGGTTTCTCTGCCACGCTCCTTGCCGCATTTCAGTTTTTGCCCTCGTCGGCACCGGCCCATTCTTGCACCTCGTTGGCGAGATCTTAACTACCTCACCTTGTACCATTGGAACCTCATTTGGCAGTAAAAAATATGATAATTGTTTTTTTACCCTTCTATCTGGCAACAAAACTGACATCTTTTGGCGTCTTCTGGTCCAACCCATGTGAGACTAGGCTCTAAGGAAAGCTGTCTCGGGTGTGGACCAATCAACTTCAAGGACAGTGCACATTATCAGAGTTATGTTTTTTGTTTGCAGGTATTGTGGTCTATGCAAACATGACTCCTTGTAAGAAAGGTGTCAGTTTTGTTGCCAGATAGAAGGGTGAAAAAACAATTATCATACCTCACCTTGTATACAGGAAGTCGTGGGTTTGATCCCGACCCTGTATTTTTGGAGTTTGCATGTTCTTCCCGTGGTCATGTAGGTTTTTCTCCGGCTCCTCCGGTTTTTCCCTCCACAGAGTATTTGGCTGCTATAAATTTCCACGTGATAACTCACTTCGCCGAGCTATCATTTTCGGCCAGGTCGCTTCTGAAAAAGCTATGTAGCTCAGTGGGCCTTAGCTGGTAAAATAAAAAATAATTTTTAGTTTTTTATAGTTTACAATCTCGCAGTGCCACTGCTGTTGTATTTTGTTGTGAGCGGTGCAGCTGCACTTGAGGTGCCAGGTGCCGGGCTACGAAGGGGTTGTGTGGAAATTGGACAGGGGGCCGCGTTTCATTCCATAGTCCATGGGCCCATGCAGACTGCGATAGGCCACTGCAACTTCGTTAAATGAATGCGTGTTTGGCACTCCTGTTCATGGCCGGGCAATACATCTCTAATAATAATTGCGAGGGTGGTCAGAGTGTGTGAAATATGAATATTCTGTCCACTGTCGGACGAAGGTCTCGCCACATTGTTGCCATCCTCCGTGGCCCCGCGATGCCACAAATCCACGCCTCTGCTGCACATGAGCTGATCTCATCGCTTCGTCTCCACGGTGGTGGACCTCTCAGGGGCGTTCCTTCCTTTGGCTTGATACTCTGTTGTTACCAATTCTCGTCAATCCCTCACGGCGACGTGACCTGCCCACGGATGTTCGCCTCTTCGAGGCGGTCGGCCGTGGCGAGCTGCAGAGTCTTTTGCCCTCTTTTGTGTTCTCAGGCCAACTTGGGCAAAAGCCGTACGTCTCCTCTGCTATTGACCTCTGTGGCATCAGTGTTTGGTGGCCAAACCGTTGTCCGACTGTGGGGGGGGAGTATTTTTCCCCTCGACCCTGTTGCATCACAGCACAAATTCGCGGGGGGGGGGGGGAAATCTTGCTGCCATTGCTTATTATCTAAGCACTGGGTGAAATATGTTGCAATTGCTATTTGTTAACAAATAATTCGAATCATAAATTACATTTCATGCGTATTGAGAAAACAACAACAATGGTCGTTTTGGCAGTCGTTAGGAATGCATGTTTGATGTTCATTTCGAAATATTATAAGATAGGGTTTTGTAAATGATGAAACTGTGAGATAATTCGATTATCAAGGTTTACGAACAGAGGTTGGATAACAGTGTTTGTTTTCTAGTAAATTAATATTTATCGGCTGAATACAATGCTGGACCTATGTTTTTCAAATAATATTGAATATGCAAACTAGGTGAGTGGCAGGGTGGCACGATGTTTGTGGCACACTGCACCACGAACTTTGCCATTGAGTTGGATTCCCTGCCGTGTAATGAGTGATATCGGAACTGGACCTGGACACTCTCCCCCCCCACCTCCCTGCCAAACGTCAACCAACCCACACTGACCATGATGGTGAAGCTAGGTCAACCAACCCACACTGACCGTGATGGTGAAGCATGGTCAGCCAACCCACACTGACCGTGATGGTGAAGCATGGTCAGCCAACCCACACTGACCATGATGGTTAAGCGTGGTCAGCCAACCCACACTGACCATGATGGTGAAGCGTGGCCAGCCAACCCACACTGACCGTGATGGTGAAGCGTGGTCAGCCAACCCACACTGTCCGTGATGGTGAAGCTAGGTCAACCAACCCACACTGACCGTGATGGTGAAGCATGGTCAAGCAACCCACACTGACCGTGATGGTGAAGCATGGTCAACCAACCCACACTGACCATGATGGTGAAGCACGGTCAGCCAACCCACACTGACCATGATGGTGAAGCATGGTCATAAGGTCACACTCATTACACACAAACGGCTCGCCGCAAATGAACCACGATACCTCGCTGATCTCGTCAAGGAGCATAAACCATCAAGCGAACTCCGGTCATCCTCGCAGCAGCAGCAGCATCAGCAGCAGCAGCGTTGTGGCTGGCCAGCGACCACAGAAGGTCACTGCATCGCGCGCTTTCAGATCCGCTTGTGTGGCCGTCTCTCCCTTCGGATATTAGGAAGCCACTGGAGCTATGCACTTTTAAATCATCTAGATTTAAAACTCAATTCTTTAGAGCAGTTTTGCGTGTGTTTAGTTTGGCGTCATTTTCCCACACCTCCAATGAGCACGGTTGGCTACATATGGTGCGAAAGAAGTTCAACATAGATACATACATGACTGACTTCATGAATGATAAATTGTATCGATGAGCCAGAGATGTGCATCGTGTCCTGAACTCCCTTACTCACCGAGTTCAGCTGAAACATCGGTGCTGTGTAAAGCGGAAATGGTGGCGAGGTCATCTGCAGTAACGCGCAAGGCATCGCAACTGAGCCAGAACCTCACACGGACGTACGCACACACACACACACGCACGCACACACACACACACGGACACACAAAGACCCCCGTATAGCCTAAACCGACTGTTGCAGAAAGTGCTGTTACCGAGCACCTTTTGAAGGCTCGCACGGCACACGAGGGGGTGGGTGGCCAACACCTCACCCGGCCGCCTTTGTCTCCCTAGTGGAGATGTTTACATATCGCAGCAGGTAGTCATTTGAGGCTGAGTTTACCTAGGGGAGGCCCGCGACCGGTTCAGATAATTGTCACTGGTGTTGGACGTGAGCAGGAATCGAACCCGTGTCTCCAGGGTCGTCGCGCTGTGCGCTAACCGCTACACTACCGCTCCCCACACATGCACACACATGTACACACACATGTACACACACACACACGCGTATGCGTTTCTCCAGCGCTCGTATTCTTCTTCAGACGACGACAGGAGAGTGCTGAAATATGCTCGTTTTTCTTTTTTACACGTTAGTGTTCGTAATTATTTTGATGTTTAGTTTGTTGTCCTTCCCCGCACTTCCGACTAGCACAGTTGGCTATGTACGCGCGAAAGAAGTTCAACATACATAATTGACTTTTTTGGCCAGACCGCGTGAGAGCAAAGCAAACAAACGCGTGTTGTAAACCCTACTCCACATTTCTGGCAACTGCCCGATGGTTGTTGTTGTGGTTTTCCTCGCGCATTGTGTCACCAATTTGGAAGGGTTTAGCCAGAGATCAATCGATTAAATTTGTGGTCCGCGTTTTGGGCATCTGAGAAAATGGGAGACGTCTTCTGGCGTTGCTTGGCACAAAGGGCAGCAGTTTGGGGCGTTTGGGTCGATTCGATTTTGGTAATCGGCTAGCATGGAGCAGTCACCTGGTGATGCTGGCTGTAGCTGCCAGCGAAACGTCATCCCCCAATTATTAAACGCGGTGTGTGGATCGCTCTCCAACAACAACAAGCGGCGGTTTGGGGGTGGGGGGTTTGCTGAAGCAGGAATGACTTGCCGCGTTTCTTCATCACGCGACAACTTTATTAATTGACCTGGACTAGGGTTTGCGACACATCATTTTACTTGCGTTATGAGACCAAAAACACAATTATTAACTGCTGTGAATGTGCTCTTTTATTTGAGGTGGAAATGCAAATCCAAGTGAGAATTGCACACCGTGTGGAATTTTTTTTGCAAGCGCCGAGTTGAAGTATCTGAGCACTGCCCATGCCTGGCTACGTACGGAGTGAATATCTACATACATTATTATGCCCCCGTGTGTGGGCAGGTAGACTGTGTAACCCACAGCCGCCATTTACTGTGGAAGAGGAATAATCAGTTGAGAGGGTCACGCACGCTCAGTTCTTTATCTCCGGCTCTGCACTGCAGTAACCTCCGCCATCCAGTGGCCCGGATCTGGGGTAAAGTTTGCTTGATGAACGCGCCACTGATTTAAATAGTGGGGTGATCGAGTTCAGAGTGCGTGCGTGCATGCGCAATGCGCCGCCCTGCAAGTTGTATACGCAATGCACGTGCGTGTGTCCGACAATACCCCCTTTGTGGAAGTTTGTGCCGCTGGTTCAGGTGACGCCTTTTGGTGCGTACTGATGTTACCGTTTTGTTTCCTTGCGTTCATGAAGTACTGCCATGCACTATCCACTGCTGGGTGAAGGCCTCCTTTCTTTTCTCCCCCAAGCGGTCACTGCGTGACTTGCGATGTCGCGCCGCGTCGATCAATCTGCCGCCTTAATTATACAAACCAGTTGTGGGCAAGGAAATAACTCCAATTCCGTTTGGGCACTTGAATTGATGCCTCCTTTGGCTGCCACTCCATTATTAGTCTCGTAAACGTAAAGAAAGGCCGTTTCAGAACCCGCACAACCCCAGCAGATATTTCGGTTGTCCCTGGATGATAATACTATATTTTGCGGATTTTAAGGCACACTCTTTTTCCGTGTATTTTCAAGAAAACGTTGGGGGGGGGGGGGTGTTTCTTATATTTTGGTAGATGTGGGAGTGTGTGAACTCGGTGTGTGACCAGATTTGTCGAACTTAATTGACATCGGGCACAGTTTTGGGCTTTGTATTTATTATTATGGAGCATCTTATGATCTGGAAAATATGGTCCCACCACTCTGGAGTCGGATCATTGCATAATAAAGGTTTTTTGGGTTAGATCTAACCTAAAAAAACCTCTTATGGATGATTTTGGTCGCGAAAGCCTACGTGTTAAACTGACACTGCGCTTGGTTCGCGAGGCTCAATAGTAGAACGTTCGCCGCACGTGCCAATCATCCGATCCGGTTTTTACAACAACCGAGTCGTCGTAATCCAAGCTACGCCGCGCTCACTTATCCGCTCAATCTCACCGCTTGACCCGGTTGTGTCCGCTGGGCCGTCTTTGCAGCGCTACGTGGACGGAGGCATCAGCGACAACGTGCCGTCCTACGAGCTCAAGACGACCGTCACGGTGTCGCCGTTCTGCGGCGAGAGCGACATTTGCCCTCGCGACAGCAGCCCCAGCTTGCTGGAGCTGCGGCTCAAGAACACGAGCATCCAGTGCAACCTGGACAACATCTACCGCCTGTCACGCGCCCTCTTCCCTCCCGAGCCGCAGGTGCGCGCGTCGCCACCGCCGTGGCGGGCAGTGGTCATGAGGGGTTGCTTTGACCTTACTTCACCACGGGTTTGGGGGTGAGGACCCCGCCGCAGATATCATTCCCCGCTGATGATTACTCATTTCCAGGAATCGAACTCTGGTCTCTGGGTTCGTAACGAAGTGCCAAAGTGCACTCCCTTGACTAGTATACAGCGCTTTGGAAAAAAAGAGGGTTAAAAAAAAAAAATCGGCTGTCGACAGCGATTGCAGTGCTGTCAAATTCATCGGCATCACTGGAACAGCTGCGAGAGACATAGGTCTGGGGAGCCATTGGCTTGTTGTTGCAGTCGTTGCTATTGTCGTCTGATAGAGCCCCCGCTACCCCATGCTCCTCCACTGCAGGTGCTGAGTAAAATGTGTCAGCAGGGCTACAACGACGCCCTCCGCTTCCTCCGTGAGAACAGTGAGTGCAACTACAGCCACCCCTTCCTCATTTTTTCTGCACCTACCATGGATACATTCCAGTTAGAAGGAGGAGACGCGTCGGTCTGACCGTCGTGCAACGAAAAGTGCTCTCTGCGGCCGAGCGGGTGAGAAAGTGCTGCCCCCTGCCGCTAGGGTCGGAGGTCACCTGAAGGGACCTCGGAGGTAGGTCTGTAATATCCGCATCTGTGGGGGCCTTCTCTGTCGCTTTTGAGAGATTCTAAATGGATAGGACGATTGGGATAAAATTGGGGCGATGGGTCGGGGGTTGGGGGGGGGGGAAATAATGAAATGCAAATATTTCAATTACATCCGTTCTCTCGTCCGTGTAGACCTGCTGATCCCGAACTCGCCCAGTGCGGGGCTCCGCATGCCCACGGCCGAGCCGCCCACTACAATCGTGAGCCCCTGCGAGTCGTCGACCTCCAAGCCGTCCGCCCGTGAGCTGTCCGGTCCCAAGCCGTCGGGCCCCGCGGAGAAGAGCATCCCTCCTCCGCTTGCACAGAGCGGCCAGGAGCAGCAGTCGCCCGTCCCAAATGAGGTCTCGCCCCTTTGGGCCCTGGAGGAGAAGCTGTGGGAGAGCCTGCCGCTGCCGATCCGAGTGGGTACGTGTGGCGACGCACGCACGCCCTCGGTTGCCGCTCTGCTGTACCGCCCCGTTACCCAGTCGCCCAGAAGCTGGGTAGTGCTACTCGCCAGGTCTCAGAAGGTCAGCAGGGTTGAGCCTTGATAGTATTTTGGGACTGTGACCGCCATGCACAACCGGTTGTCATGGCCACGTAGTGGGGACCAGAGGGTTGTGCGCTAAATTCGACTGTCCTCCACGCCTGTGCTTCCACATCTGCGTAGCCCGCCGACGGCGTCCCTCGCCGACGAGCGTGATGACGCACCGTTGAATTACCCCCGCGCGACCCAGCACACGACGTGGGGAGTGCCCTCACCCAGCGGTCGATTGACAAAAACGGCGCTGTGCACCGCCGTGGAGGAGAATAACAAGCCGAGCGAATCCCTGACCGGAATTCGAACTTGCGACCTGTTCTGATTTGTGAGCCTCACGTGAATGGCTCGCCGGGCTGGACGGGTTTAACGAAAGGCCGTCTGTGTCGCGCTGCTTGCAGCCCTGAAGAACGCGTGCATGGAGAAGGCGGGGGTGGTGGCCTACCTGCGCAGGCTCTACCCCGTGCGGCTCGCGTCCTACCTCATGCTGCCATGCACGCTGCCCGTGGAGTCGGCCGTCTCGCTCACTGTGCGGTGAGGAAGGGGCCCTGCGATCGTGCACGCTGAGCTCGTATTACTCTCACACACACACCACTCACCCACACACCACTCACACACAAGCTGCTCACACACACACCGCTCACACACACCACTCGCACAACGCTCCACTCATCACACAGGCTCACACACATGGATCACACTCGCACTGCTCACACACACGACTCGCACAACGCTCTATTCACACTCCACTCACACAACGCTCCACTCACACACAGGCTCACACACACGCTGCTCACACACACACCGCTCACACAGAGTGGACTCGTGTGAGACTGTCGTTTGTGTGTGTGTAGCAGATCGCGTGCTGCTCTACGAACCCGGCGACCCGAGTTAAATTCCCGCTCACGGCCAACACCAGTGACGATTACCTGAGCTGGTCCTGGGCCTCGCCCAGGTCGACTCGGCTTCAAATGAGTACCTGGTGCGGTGTGTAAGCATCGCCACTGGGGAGACAAAGGCGGTCGGGCGTGGTGCTGGCCACCCACCCCCTCGTGTGCCGTGCCGGCCTTCATAGGTGCTCGCTAACAGCACTTGCCCCAACAGTGTGTTACAGGCTACACGGGATCTTTGTTTTTGTTTTGGTGTGACCAGGCTGCTGGAGTGGCTGCCGGACGTGCCGGATGACGTGCGCTGGATGTCGCAGCAGGCCCTGTCGGTGGTGCGGTACCTGTGCCGGCAAGCGTCACGCAGCCTCGCTCGCAGGTAGCACCGACGCTCCCGGCAACGCGGCGTCGAGGGCATCGCCACCCAGAGCACTGCTCCGGATTTTGTCGGCACACCAGTCGGTCAGAATCCGAATCTTTATTGAGACTGGAAGAATCCGATGAGCTGTGACGCTCTTGTTCACAGATGTCCAGGAGGGGGCGGGGGTAGGCTGGGTATGATAATTATTATTATTGCTGCGCTTGTTTACCCAGGAAAGCCTCACTGACTCTCATGATTCCTTTACAGGAGGGTCCTGCCAAGTTGTTTTTTTGCAATTGCAGGGACGATGGCTGCAATGTGTTTTTCGATTCGAATAATTTGCTGGTAATTTTTATTATTTGGAGCATGGCGTCGGTACACAGAGCCCTGCTCTTTAGAATTATTTCACGGGATCTTTAACCTCTACTGTGAAGCAGACTGCACATAATTTTACGGTTAATGCACACAACACAGTATTAATCAGGACTGCCGCTGGATTCGAACCATGAACGTCTGCAGCAAGCGGCGAATGTGCACCCCGCTAGGTATCTCAGTGTGTGCCGGTGGGTAGGTATGTGGGTGCGCAGGTAGGTGGGTAGGTATGTGGGTGCGCAGATTGGTGGCTAGGTATGTGGGTGCGCAGGTAGGTGGGTAGGTATGTGGGTGCGCAGGGAGTGGGTCGGTATGTGGGTGCGCAGGTAGGTGGGTAGGTGTCTGGGTGCGCAGGTAGGTGGGTAGGTGTCTGGGTGCGCAGGTAGGTGGGTAGGTATGTGGGTGCGCAGGTAGGTGGGTAGGTATGTGGGTGCGCAGGTAGGTGGGTAGGTATGTGGGTGCGCAGGTAGGTGGGTAGGTGTCTGGTTGCGCAGGTAGGTGGGTAGGTGTCTGGGTGCGCAGGTAGGTGGGTAGGTATGTGGGTGCGCAGGTAGGTGGGTAGGTATGTGGGTGCGCAGGTAGGTGGGTAGGTGTCTGGGTGCGCAGGTAGGTGGGTAGGTATGTGGGTGTGCAGGTAGGTGGGTAGGTATGTGGGTGCGCAGGTAGGTGGGTAGGTATGTGGGTGCGCAGGTAGGTGGGTAGGACTGTGGGTGCGCAGGTATGTGGGTGCGCAGGTAGGTGGGTAGGTATGTGGGTGCGCAGGTAGGTGGGTAGGTATGTGGGTGCGCAGGTAGGTGGGTAGGTATGTGGGTGCGCAGGTAGGTGGGTAGGTATGTGGGTGCGCAGATTGGTGGGTAGGTATGTGGGTGCGCAGGTAGGTGGGTAGGTATGTGGGTGCGCAGGGAGTGGGTCGGTATGTGGGTGCGCAGGTAGGTGGGTAGGTGTCTGGGTGCGCAGGTAGGTGGGTAGGTGTCTGGGTGCGCAGGTAGGTGGGTAGGTATGTGGGTGCGCAGGTAGGTGGGTAGGTATGTGGGTGCGCAGGTAGGTGGGTAGGTGTCTGGTTGCGCAGGTAGGTGGGTAGGTGTCTGGGTGCGCAGGTAGGTGGGTAGGTATGTGGGTGCGCAGGTAGGTGGGTAGGTATGTGGGTGCGCAGGTAGGTGGGTAGGTGTCTGGGTGCGCAGGTAGGTGGGTAGGTATGTGGGTGTGCAGGTAGGTGGGTAGGTATGTGGGTGCGCAGGTAGGTGGGTAGGTGTCTGGGTGCGCAGGTAGGTGGGTAGGTATGTGGGTGTGCAGGTAGGTGGGTAGGTATGTGGGTGCGCAGGTAGGTGGGTAGGTATGTGGGTGCGCAGGTAGGTGGGTAGGACTGTGGGTGCGCAGGTATGTGGGTGCGCAGGTAGGTGGGTAGGTATGTGGGTGCGCAGGTAGGTGGGTAGGTATGTGGGTGCGCAGGTAGGTGGGTAGGTATGTGGGTGCGCAGGTAGGTGGGTAGGTATGTGGGTGCGCAGGTAGGTGGGTAGGTATGTGGGTGCGCAGGTAGGTGGGTAGGTATGTGGGTGCGCAGGTAGGTGGGTCGGTATGTGGGAGCACTCATTGTTCTTAATAGTCAATGTGATGTCTCTAATCTTGCATCTTCTCTGGTACTTGCATTGTGCACAAGAATATTTGGGTTTCCATTTCTGTACCCATGCATCCTTATGCCATTAAGATACTCTTGTAATCGACATGTATGTATTGAATCATTAAAATGACTTGCTTGTCTCATGATACGCGAATTGAAATGACTGTAGGATTCATCTATTATCTTCTGTTCGTGCATATTGTTGCAAATCTATAATTCCGGCCAATTGTTGGAAGGAACGAGGCCGAACAAATGCGACCTTGCAACAAGAGGGAAACAGCACGCGGGATGAGCGGCACACTCGGCACAAACGAGACACATTGAACACGACAGCGGCAGGAGTGACGGAAAAAATGGCAAAGACAGCGCAGACCAGACAGGCAGTACTAGTGAGACGGACAGCACAGATGTTAAAAAAAAAATGTAAATCAATTTGAACCGTGACGGTGAGTTGTGGCAATTGTATGTGCGTACAGTATGTTGAACTTCTTTCGTACCGTACGTAGCCAACGGTGCTAATCGGAGTTGCGGGAAATTGATAAAAATCGTGGACGGGCGGCGAAAATCCCAAATGCCTGGGCGATGAGCGTCGTCTCCCGCGCAATGCCTCGAACACGTGAGCATCATAGCCTCTACTTTGTGCGTGGAGATGTGGCCTTCTGTTGCAGTCTTGCCATAATTGAACTGATAAATAAGTATAACCAGTAAAAAAAAGTTTTAAACTATAAATTCTTTATATGCGTGGCATCGGTTTTCGGGCGGCTAGAGTCCTCTCGTTCTCTGGCTTGAGATGGCTGCCACCTATGGGTCAGATGATTGCCTGCCACCATTAAGCAATTGGTAATTAAATATAAATTTTTTTCCCTAAAAAGTGTACAAATTTGGAAAAAAATTTTCACGAAAATAAATTGTCACGCACAACGAGTGTGTGCAAAATGTGAGCTCGATTGGATCACGGGAAGTGGGTTAAAAAACGACCGAAAGATTTGCACGGTCCTAAGCAAGCAAGCAAGCGAACTTAATATAAAGGATTTAAAAATATATTCGCCTGTGGAGGACGCGGGGATCGATCCCGCGACCTTTGGCATGGGAAGCGAGGGCGCTACCAACTGCGCTACTCCGCCAGGGCCTGTGGAAGTGTCACGCTCTGGGCTCCTACACTGTGACGTTCAGGCAAAGCCATGAATGAGTTCTATTTGAATAAATGTAAAATAAAAATTTTTTGCCTAAAAAGTGTAAAATTTTTGAAAAAAAACGACCGCAAGATTTACACGGTCGTAAGCAAGCAAGCGAACTTAATATAAAGAATTTAAAAATACATATATACGGACCATGTGCTTCTTCTCATTGTCTGCAGCTGCAGGTTCGTGCACCGGCGCAACCCTCGCAAGTCAGCGAGCGCACCCGCGCTGGGCCGGCGCCCGAGCCTGGCCCTGACCTCCTCCATGGCCGACCTCTTCTGCTGGTTCCGTGCTCTGGGCTCCTCGCAGAGCGCGATCACGCTGTGCGGTCACGAGTTCCTCTGCACTCACGAGTGCTGCGAGGAGGAGGAGGAGGAAGAGCGCGGCGGTCGAACCGTGAGCTTCATGACCGCCGAGGAGGAGGAATCGAGCGACGAGCAAGACTGAGCGTTTTGTGGCCTTACGGCAAGTCCGAGACTTTAGCCGTTCGCCTCGACGGCGTTAGGAGACGCGCTGGTGAGCTCTTATCATGAGTCCGAAACTTTAGTTAGTGGCCTCGGAATATTAGAGGGGGACACTCTGGCGGCATTTGCGTTCGTTGCAGGCTCGATGCCACCATGTTAGGCTTCGAACGTCTATGCTGGCTATTGATTTGTTCGGTTTTTTGTGGGGGCATTTTCTTCAATTTTATTTTAACTGTGATGTCTGTGTCATGTGATGAGATGAAGACGTTCATTTTAGAAACTGAGTCGTGCAGCATCACCCTGTGTTATAGAACATCACACACAAGCACTGGCGGAGCCAGTGGGGGCGGGGGGGAGGGTGGCACGTACCCCCCCAATGATCCGATCGAAATCCCTAATTTCAATTGGATCATTTGGGTTTATTAGTAATAAATCGGCATTTTGCGACCCCCACTGCCACTGTGTAGCACATTATTAAGTGCCAAGGACTCTGAGATGATAGGACAATAGTCTGAGTGCATAATTGTCAATAAGTAACAGCAAAGCAGTTATAAGTGACTCACAGAATTGTACGCAGTTGCGTCTACAGAACACGACTTCCCTGAAGGCATCAACACCTTCAGCGAGCGCGATGCCGATCACACAACGCGGTTCGAACTCGACCCTCGATCGATGGCTGTGCCATCGCCGCACACGCGTCGAATAAAAAGCAAGGGACAAGTCCTCACTAACAACTATCATGTTTCATTGCTGGAGGGGAGTGCACAGAGCTCGCCTTTGTCAAGGCACTATACCAATGCATAAGATAAGTGAACTTAAGTAAACACTAGGGGCATGATATGAGGAAATGCTCATCGCTTAGCAATCAAAAGAATTATTTTTTCAGTCTAAGAGCTGGAATTTTTCCAAATTATGTGACAACTAACATCGAAGAGGCTTTTCTATGCAGTTATTGGTGCTCGGGTTGAGAACATCACACTTCTACACTTGAGACCACAGTTTAATCACAGGTGGCTACACACGGGTTCAAACCTCGGGTCTCAGCATTGTTGGCACAGTGCCCTGACCCCTTAGCTACTGCTGACCCATTAATACAAAACTTTAACCGATTGAAACCTAGGCTTCATATTTAGCAAGCTAATAATAGTCATCCTGTTGGATGTTTGTGGCCTTGTGAAGTTGTAATTCCTCACAACGTCCCACTCGCTGAGCCGACCCTTCAAGTGTTTTATTCTCAGCCCAATGTTGCATATTGATGCTTATGCATTTGTCTGTGCTGTTAGAATTTGGGACACAAACTTCCGGCAATGAATCGTTGCCCGCGTGCATCCGATTGTTCTGTGGCATTGAGTGTGGCGTAGCGACTGGACCAATGAAACACGCGTGCCTCAAGTGTTGGGCAGCTTCTAGCTTTTAGGTTCATGGCCTCGGTTGTGTGGCGACTTGATGACACAGTATATGTGATGTGCAATACACTTCTAAACTGTAGATTTCCTGGGAAACGTTTTGTTTGTTTCAAAGTCTCGTTTTCATAATCTTTCATGTCCGGTTATTTGAGGCAATGTTTACTCTGTTACCTTCTGTTTCCGTTTTAGGTATAGAACTACTTTTTAGATAATAGGTTGTACATTTCACAAGTGATGCTATTCCGCCATGCCACGGCGTGGTATGCATGTGTGGTTTTGAGGTTTCAATGGTGAACTTGTGGTGGTAGCTTGGCCCCTGACTGCGAACGGAATGTTTTATTTTACACGCTTTTAGGGCCGACGGTGTTTTTAGTCGATGTGTACGGCCATGTGCATTGGATCGCACCTCCAAGTAGCACCGTTGGCTACGTTACGGTTCAAAATACATGCACAAACGTTTACACAAATGGGCCTGACCAATTTTACACTTTTAAAACAGGCAACTTTTTGTAAGCCTCTTGCACAACTCTGACGTTAACAGTAGAATAAATAAGAGTAAACCATCAACGTACAACATAGTCTCTTAAAAAATAAAAACAGATACTTTGTTAATTATATTTTAGAGAGCTAAGTTTGACTGGTAAAGCCGAACGATAATTAAGGTGCTCTTTTATTTAACAGTATTTAAAATTGAGGTGTGATTCTCGCAATACGTGGTCGGCACCAGGCCTTATGAAACGATACTCTCTGGGAACAAACGTAACTGTGATTCAGGTTCCAAAAGTTGAGGCACAATTTAGTCGTATTTGCCAGTCTGTTGTCTTTTTCTGCAAACCAAAGTGCAAAGTAGAAGTGCCTGCTAACGCTTGCGATCGAATCGGTGCTTGCGATTGTGAGAGCGTCAATATATGGAGTCCGAACAAAGACCTCGTCAAACGTGTTGCCTACGGCATGGCGATGACGTGGAAGAGGGCCGTCATCCAGTAGTGGATAGAACTTGGCTGACAATGAAAGTGCCTATAATACGAGAGCATATCTGAACAAAGTTGTCATCAAAAGCATTATCTACATAATTTAACTTAACGCCAAACAAATATGCACTTTGTAATTTAGTGCACGGATAAGTGGGATTGTGTGTGCCAAAGTTGTCCTATAACTTGCATGCGCTTCATGGGTGATGAGCGAGTCGGTCTGTCCATGGGCTGTTCAGTAAGCCCAGTGCCTAATGCTAAGTGGCAGAACTTCCTGTACCATCGATAAAACAGCCTCAAGAGTCCGTTTAAAAACTGAGTCGGTTTTGATATTCTTGGCAATGACATGGGTGCTGCTGCGATGGTGTTATTACTGTAAGTACTGTGATTTGTTATAACCCAATCTGTTGATGTTGGACCGATAATGGTCAACGAATTAATGTTTCATGATTACCAGCTGTACAATCTTTAGCAGATTTGTTTCCAAAGCATTGTGTGACCTGTTCATGTGAAAACTCAATATGTGAATAAACAGCGAGCTTCTTCCCATGCTCACACCTGTCGGCTGTGTCCATAGCTCTGCAGGCGCACATTTACAGCAAATCAACACGTAAACGAGGTCTGCACAATACTGTGTGCAAATCTTCAACAACAGAAAAATCTCGATGTAAAGCTTTCGTGACTGCAGGGATTCATCTTCTTGGTTCTTTCAGTAAAGTCACGTAGAATGGAAATAATAAAATAAAAATAAAACAATAAAATAATTCTCACGACGTTTCGGCCACACCGCAAGCAGCCGTCCTCATGTGGAGAACAGGTCTGTCGAGAAGACAGAGTCTGAATGACACACCCCAGGCTTGGAGCGACTATTTTAGCTGGGATGGAGGGGGGAAGAGCGCCTTGACAAAATAATTTGCATATCAAGAGGATATGCAAATAGTCGCTCCAAGCCTGGAGTGTGTCATTCAGACTCTCTTCTCGACAGACCTGCTCTCCACCTGAGGATGGCTGCTTGCGTTGTGGCCGAAACGTCGTGAGAATTATTTTATGTTTTATTTTTATTATTTTATTATTTCCATTCTACGCGACTTTACCAAAAGAACCAAGAAGAACAGAAAAATCATTTTCTATTTATCGGAACTGTGCTATTGATGTCACGTCAGAGGATGAATGATCAATTCGGAACTCTCAATAGAGCCGCGCAACTCCCCTCCCTCCACGTCTACAAAAGCTGATATCACAGAACTAATTCTGAGATGCCTTCCAGTGACCTCTGATCCACACAGGAGGAGGCAGCACTGCTCCTGGGACATGTCCGTCGCAAACTCATTGCTATAGATAAGAGAATTGTTTTTTTAGCCTTTTATCTGGCAACAAAACTGACACCTTATTTACAAGGAGTCATGTTTGCATTGACCACAATACCTGCAGTCGGAATTTCAAGGACAGTACATACATTATCAGAGTTGTGTTTTTTGTTTGCATTCCGACCGCAGGTATTGTGGTCAATGCAAACATGACTCCTTGTAAAAGGTGTCAGTTTTGTTGCCAGATAAAAGGCTAAAAAAACAATTATCATATTTTGCTACTGGCAAAGGAGGTTCCAATGGTGTCATTGCTATAGAATAGCTTTTTTGTGTTTAGTTTGTTGCTCTTGACCGCACCTCCGATGAGCGCGTTTGGCGAGGTACGGTGCGGAAGAAGTTCAACAACATCCAATCCAATATTTGTAATTGTCGCAGCTAGAAATTATCAGAATTTAACGCAGAACCAAATTTAACATGAATTGCTTGTACAATCATTCGTGAACATGTAAAGACCATGAACTCCCTTTGCTTGAAGCCCTGGTTTAACAACAGGTAGCTGGAACCTGGATTTAAAATTGGGATCTCAGCGGGTCTAGCTCCACGCTCACCTCTACAATCTGACCTCCACGCTCTGACCTCCATGCTGACCCCTAAAATCTGATCTCCACACTGACATCCACGCTCTGACCTCTACAATCTGACCTCCACGCTCTGACCTTACACACTCTGACCTCCATACTCTGACCTCTGAGCTGCTTGTCCACCTCCACCAGTCTTCCATTTAGTGTTTAATTAAATGAGACTATTGCAGATTAAACCACGATGGGACAAGATTCATACTTTATATATGTAATATGAATGGCACATTTATAAAAGAAAGGTAATTTTTTTTCTTCCAGAAATACATGTATGAAGTTTTCTATTATGGTACATTTAAAATAATTTGCAGTCAACATTTTGATTAACGTTTGAAAGTACACATTGATCAAATGTATACCGTTTAATAATACAATTGTTAACGACTAAATACATCTCATTATTTACAAAAATTTTAAATCTCAGAAAAAACAATTACCATGTTCTCTAATCATCTCTCTCACTCATAGAAAATGTAAACATCATCGTCTGCATTTCTAAGTTTTGGGGTTGAGCCATAGCACAGTTTTTGACGCACTGCTCTATTAACCGGGCGACCTGAGTTTGATTCCCAGCAACGATTAACATTTTAATTTCTTCAGAACTGCTTTTTGTGTTTAGTTTGTTGTCCTTCCCCTGCAACTCCAATTGCCACGGTTGGAAATGTATGACACAAAAGGCGTATTATCAAAACATGACTGACGTGGCACGGGGAGGCCATCTAGCAAGTAACTTAACAAAGGGTTCGTTCCTCGTTGTCCATGTGTTCTCATTTTGAGTGGTGGCATTTTGGAAGGCAGCACTTGACTCCTTTGCGATGCAACTCTGCCGCGGTGTGCTGCAGTGACCCATGGGGATGTGAACCTTGACCTGAACGTGTCGGAGGGAGTCGTGCGCTCGTGCTGGCCTGAAGAAGGGGTTAGTTGAGCGTGTTGGTGGGGGGGGGGGTCTAAATCGTACAGTACAACATTTAAAAGAATATATATTGATATTCCCCCCATCCTCCCGCATCTTTGTCCACCAAGTAAGATGCATGAGTAGGCCTTCTTTGACAGGCAGGTTAGTGTGTAGTTGGGTAAAGTGTGGGTACTTATACCTCTAAATGTTACATTGGGCCAGTATGAAAGCGTTGTGTTTATTCAGGGTGGTCCAGATGTCTTGTGAACCCAGTTAAATTAACCCCTACAATGTTGTTCCCATCGCATATTCATTTCTGTTTTGAATAGATTTTACTTTTAGAATGTATTAAGTTTTAGATAATTAAATGGGCGGGGGGGCGGGGCGTCACAAGACATCCGTACCACCCTGTAGAGGCGGGGGGAGGGGGGTCTCTGAAGCCAGCAGTGTCGTGAGCAAGCAGCCCTGCATCGATCACGATGTGTACTTGATGATGTATTCTGGGTAGATCTGACTGGGGTAAAAGATGCTGAAGCTAAAGGGCTCTTCCAGGCTGTTTACCACGCTGTCGTACAGGTGCTCCAGAGAGCCGCCCTTGGCTGGGGGAAGGAGAGAAGTCGCGGTCACCGTCTCCTTTGGGCAGCTTACCCCCACGAGAATGCGCGCCAGGAACGCGCAGGGCTCGTCCCCCACATCGTTGCGGTGCTCTTGAAAGTGAACGTGTGCGTATTTAGCGTTCGAACAGAAATACGAGCCTGTAGACGCGGAGAGAAAGGACATCGATCGTAGTTGCACAAATCACAACAAAATGATATTTAAAAAAACCCACAAACAATACGTCTCCTTCACGTGATATTATCCGTCTCTACACTTGAAATATAAAAGTATTTTCCTACGCAACACGTCAGCTGCAAGGCCCTTGTATGTTTTAGTTGTGTATCGTCATCGCAGTGGGAGCCCCGCATGGTGATGAGAGAGAGGGCTCGTCACCCGTAAGATCGGCAGTTTGCCAACATTGATTCGATCGAGCCCTGACCCTGCTGATGACACATTGCACGTCAAAACCGGTCCACAGTTTGCTTTGTCTCGAATCAATGCTGCTGATAGGTTGTGCAAGAAATGCTATGTTTTTAATGTGGAGAGATGGATTTGTAAAGGAGACACAGTGTCTGCTTATTTATTGTGATTTATATTCTCCACAATGACACTAATTCGTATTTAGAAGTATATAAAAATTGTTTTAGCTTTGCCATTGTACAGGATAATCAACCGGCCTACAGGCTCAGCTGTTGAGCAAGCGGCTCACAATCAGAAGGTTGTGAGTTCAAATCTTGGTTGACGGTTGATTCAGCCTATTATCACTCTGGGGTCAATAAAATGGGGGGAAACATTTGTGGGGAAGTCAACACTGGTTGTACTCAGGTTGGACTCGCCCCTGCTAAAGGAACGTTCAACTTGCACCGCTGGCTCAGAGCTGTCAGCAGGAGATGAGGATCACCTCAATGCTTATTTGAGCAGAAATCAACTTTACGGGTTTTTTCCTTTAAGCAGATGCCCTGACAAAGGAAAAAAACAACACCATACATAATAATAGGGGTTTACTCCTTTTTTCTGACAACAAAACTGAAACCTTTTTACGAAAATTCATGTCAAATGCAAACAAAAAACACACGATGATTGGTGTGAACCAATCAGTTTCAAGGACAATGCATATATTATCATCGTGTGTTTTTTGTTTGCATTTGACTGCAGGTATTGTGGTTAATACAGACATGCATCCTCGTAAAAAGGTTTCAGTTTTGTTGTCAGAAAAAAGGGGAAAAACCCTACTATTCTATTTTGGTCCTGCAAAGGATGTCCAATGATGCAAGCACCATACATGTCTGCATTTTCTTTGACTCAAAACGTGGCAGACATTAAGAGTAGAAAACATCAAAAACTTACCTCTTCCGTTTCTGAGTTTGGGACCTGCGTATCGGAAGTCAAAGTTCTTGCGGCAGATGGAATTTTGTACGTGTGTCCTCGTGACGTGAAACAGCCGCTGTTCATTCACGTTCTCTTTGCCGTTGTCTCTGAACATTTGCTGTTTTTTCCTGTAAAAAAAAAAATACTTAAAACCCTGAGCTTCGTTTATTGCAGAGTGAGCTGCGTGATATTTCTTAACCTAATTTGCTAACATAAAGAAACTAAACTCCGTTCTTTGGAACATAAGAGGGCAAGTTTGTTGAATAAGCTGCATGCATACAGCCTTGTTAATTTACCTAATGTTTCAAATTAATGTATCACATTTATTTGAAGGTGAACTCAGACATGGGGACCACGATGCCCTTCTGCAGGACATGCTGATGGGTTTTTCCCACAATGCACAGAGGCTGTGTGCACATTTGTGTGTGTTGTTTGAAACTTACTTGACATTCTCAAATGTGGCGACTTCACGCAAAAACAAAACAAACAAAATTTATCTGAAATAAGAATGATTTTGAAAATCTTTTAACAGAGATATTCAAATTCATAATCTAAAGATTAAATTTAAAGTGCATACGGGGACTCCTCTCCTTACAAACATTAGACTCATATACTTTCAGAGATACGAACAAACCTGTCCGTATGTTCAGTTGCCTGTTCTGACCTAGAGTCATAATTTCAACCATCGCGTAATAGATGGCAGTGGTTGTTCAGTGTCATTACCCAGGATTCCCAGCATTTCTGCCTGGGCCACCGCCATTGTCTGCTGTTGTGTTATCACTGTGCGGTTCACTACGACGCTCTCTGCGCTTTCCATGAACACGATGCTATTGCCTGTTACAAGTTGATTTATGAAGAGAAGAAGAGAGCAACTGTGCAGATATCTCTTGGTAAGATTTTCAAGAGAGTAGAGAGGAAACACGAGCACCGAAGAAAATTAGCATCTACATCTGCAGAAGATAAAGAATCAATGATATCTACATCTGCATAACATAAAGAATCAATGACATCTACATCTGCAGAACATAAAGAATCAATGACATCTACATCTGCAGAACATGAAGAATCAATGGCATCTACATCTGCAGAAGATAAAGAATCAATGACATCTACATCTGCAGAACATAAAGAATCAATGACATCTACATCTGCAGAACATAAAGAATCAATGACATCTACATCTGCAGAAGATAAAGAATCAATGGCATCTACATCTACAGAAGATAAAGAATCAATGACATCTACATCTGCAGAACATAAAGAATCAATGGCATCTACATCTGCAGAAGATAAAGAATCAATGACATCTACATCTGCAGAACGTAAAGAATCAATGACATCTACATCTGCAGAACATAAAGAATCAATGACATCTACATCTGCAGAACATAAAGAATCAATGGCATCTACATCTGCAGAACATAAAGAATCAATGACATCTACATCTGCAGAAGATAAAGAATCAATGACATCTACATCTGCAGAACATGAAGAATCAATGACATCTACATCTGCATAACATAAAGAATCAATGACATCTACATCTGCAGAACATAAAGAATCAATGACATCTACATCTGTCTGCAGAATATGACGAACCAGTGGCATCTACTTCTGCAGTAAATAACCAGTGGCATCTACAGCTGCAGATAATGAAGAGCTAATGGCATCTACATCTGCATAACATAAAGAATCAATGACATCTACATCTGTCTGCAGAATATGACGAACCAGTGGCATCTACTTCTGCAGTAAATAACCAGTGGCATCTACAGCTGCAGATAATGAAGAGCTAGTGGCATCTACATCTGCAGAACATAAAGAATCAATGACATCTACATCTGTCTGCATAATATGACGAACCAGTGGCATCTACTTCTGCAGTAAATAACCAGTGGCATCTACAGCTGCAGATAACGAAGAGCTAGTGGCATCTAAATCTGCATAACATAAAGAATCAATGACATCTACATCTGTCTGCAGAATATGACGAACCAGTGGCATCTACTTCTGCAGTAAATAACCAGTGGCATCTACAGCTGCAGATAATGAAGAGCTAGTGGCATCATGAAGAATCAATGACATCTACATCTGCATAACATAAAGAATCAATAACATCTACATCTGCAGAACATAAATAATCAATGACATCTACATCTGTCTGCAGAATATGACGAACCAGTGGCATCTACTTCTGCAGTAAATAACCAGTGGCATCTACAGCTGCAGATAATGAAGAGCTAGTGGCATCTACATCTGCATAACATAAAGAATCAATGACATCTACATCTGTCTGCAGAATATGACGAACCAGTGGCATCTACTTCTGCAGTAAATAACCAGTGGCATCTACAGCTGCAGATAATGAAGAGCTAGTGGCATCTACATCTGCAGAACATGAAGAATCAATGACATCTACATCTGCATAACATAAAGAATCAATGACATCTACATCTGCAGAACATAAAGAATCAATGACATCTACATCTGTCTGCAGAATATGACGAAATCCAGTGGCATCTACTTCTGCAGTAAATAACCAGTGGCATCTACAGCTGCAGATAATGAAGAGCTAGTGGCATCTACATCTGCATAACATAAAGAATCAATGACATCTACATCTGTCTGCAGAATATGACGAACCAGTGGCATCTACTTCTGCAGTAAATAACCAGTGGCATCTACAGCTGCAGATAATGAAGAGCTAGTGGCATCTACATCTGCAGAACATGAAGAATCAATGACATCTACATCTGCATAACATAAAGAATCAATGACATCTACATCTGTCTGCAGAATATGACGAACCAGTGGCATCTACTTCTGCAGTAAATAACCAGTGGCATCTACAGCTGCAGATAATGAAGAGCTAGTGGCATCTACATCTGCAGAACATGAAGAATCAATGACATCTACATCTGCATAACATAAAGAATCAATGACATCTACATCTGTCTGCAGAATATGACGAACCAGTGGCATCTACTTCTGCAGTAAATAACCAGTGGCATCTACAGCTGCAGATAATGAAGAGCTAGTGGCATCTACATCTGCAGAACATGAAGAATCAATGACATCTACATCTGCATAACATAAAGAATCAATGACATCTACATCTGTCTGCAGAATATGACGAACCAGTGGCATCTACTTCTGCAGTAAATAACCAGTGGCATCTACAGCTGCAGATAATTAAGAGCTAGTGGCATCTACATCTGCAGAAGATAAAGAATCAATGACATCTACTTCTGCAGAACATAAAGAATAAATGACATCTACATCTGTCTGCAGAATATGACGAACCAGTGGCATCTACTTCTGCAGTAAATAACCAGTGGCATCTACAGCTGCAGATAATGAAGAGCTAGTGGCATCTACATCTGCAGAACATGAAGAAGCAGTGGCTTCTACTTCTGCAGAACATGAAGAACCAGTGGCATCAACTTCTGCAGGACATGAAGAAGCAGTGGCTTCTACTTCTGCAGAACATGACGAACCAGTGGCATCTACTTTCGCAGAACATGATGAACCAGTGGCATCAACTTCTGCAGAACATGAAGAACCAGTGGCATCTACTTCTACAGAACATGACGAACCAGTGGCATCAACTTCTGCAGAACATGAAGAACCAGTGGCATCTACTTCTGCAGAACAAGAAGAATCAGTGGCATCTACATCTGCAGACCATGAAGAACCAGTGGCATCTACTTCTGCAGAACATGAAGAATCAGTGGCATCTACTTCTGCAGAACATGACGAACCAGTGGCATCTACAGCTGTAATTAAGCCCTGGAGGTAACGTATTAAATTGGAAATTATATGAATCCCAATAATCACGTGCATTTCTCACCTGTGATACATGTCCCAGAGAAGAGGATTGTTGACTCTCACGATGCTCGTGATCTGGAAGCTGGCCATCGTTTCATTGAACTTTTTAGCAACATTTTGGTATTCAAATTGGCCCGCTGGCAAAACGGAAGTCTGTTAAAATCAAAATAAAAGTTATTTCCAGCTCCAATGAGCACCGAGGCAGTGCTAATCTCCCGTTTACAGCTCCGAGACAGTGATTGAAATTCCACATTCCTATGTCGGGGACGAGTCAGCCCAGGCAGGATTTTAACTCACAACCTTCTGATTGTAAGCCAGCTCACTGCTGCAATTTCAAGCCAGAGCAAGTGCATTGAGATCAGTGAGATTATTTAAGAAGGTTCAGAGATAACTTTTAAGATATATATTTATGAAAGCAACAACTCACAGTGTAGTCATTCTCGTAGTTGATTTTGAACAGTTCACTGCTGTACTCCGCCAATGTCCTGTGCAGTGACAGAAAGATTTTAGAAATACGATGAAATGTCGGTGTAACATTTCCACTCTGCGAGCTTTTCCGTGTATAACATCCCATGTTCAAAGTCCCATATAAAAAAACCCATTGACACAACATTCCCAGATTGAAGCATTTTTACACGTTCATGGTCCCATTTGACCGATTTCCTAACCTTTTTGTGTATCACTATTTATATGTGGAGACACAGTAACAATGCTTGACAATTCAAAGTGCTTTCCTGCTCAAATGAGCATTGGGGCAGTGCTGGTCTCCTGTTTCCAGCCCAGAGCCAGTGGTGGAAATTCCACATTTCTATAGTGGGGGACAGGGGGAGAGGGGTGGGGGACACGTCGCTCCATAGGACACCGGCTGATGACTTCTTGACCAAGTGTTACCTATTTTATCAACCCCAGAGGGATTGATAGGCTAAGAAAACCCCCAACCAGGATTTGAACTTGCAACCATCCGATTGTGAGCCACTCACTCTACCACTGAACCAAGTTCTTGTGCATATATGCTTACGCCCATATGATGCTTGATGGCATCAGGAGCTTAATCCACGTTCTACCTTCTGCCTTGGTGATCCCTGTTGAACAAGATGATTCTGTTTGTGTGGAGGTACCTGTGCACTCTGACCCGTGGAACGTCTGTCCTTGTCTGAAATTGGGGTCGGCGCCGGATCGGTCGAGTGTTCTTTCCTTCCGACTGACACATTTCTGCGGATAGAAGACAACAAACCAGTTTTTGTTCACATATCCAGTACACGCTCATACTTGCATTTGTCATAAGCGAGCGCATCTCCTGCATAATTGAGGGGTTACACTTTATATACTGTCAGACATGCCTTATCAGTAGTGGGGTTATATCTGGGGGAAAGGTTAATGGGCGGAGCTAGCATGGAAGCCTCTGGAACGTTCTAGAATGCTCCTAGAGGGGCGTGGCCAGAGGCGGGGCTTAGCCTCGGAAAAGGGAATATAAGCGGGGAGTGCGGTGGAGATAAGGGTGAGCGCAGTCACGCCAAGAAAGAACGACGAGAGGAGTCGTGGCTGTGAAGAACCTTTAATGAATAAATAAAGTTCTGCCGTGTCGGAGCCACTTATTACACATTGAAAAGTCACCTCGCCACGATCTAAGGGGACTAATCGCCGTCTGTGTGGGAAAGAGCGTTGCCCCTTAAAAGCTTATTTGCATAATTAATAATGATGACTTTAACTTGTAACGCCGCCGCACGGTGTACGCTCGCCCTCGAAGATAGAGCGCACGAATCAGAGGCTTCTGCTTGCATGTGTGTCAAGGTGGTGAAGGCAGTAAAGGTGCAGCCCTGCAATTGCCTGCTCACGCCACTGCTGGAGGAAGGGCCTCGACTACAGGCATTTCAAGGGAGCCCCTCGGCTGAGTGCTTTGGCCTACTCTTCCACACTGGCCAGGCATCTTAGTGGGAGCTACCCACACTTTACCCCGCCACAAGCATCCTGCCAATCGACTCAACTGCTGGGTGGACAGAGGCGGTATTTAGTGAGTGCACGTACTCACTAAATATTGAAACGGTCATTGTAAAGTTGAGGAAACAGAACGCACTTTTATATGCAATGGTTCCGATGGCCAAATTATCCAGCATGTGCCCAATCTCATCAGATCCCAGAAGCTAAGCAGAGTATAGCTCGATTAGTGCTTTGATGCGCACCCACCATATTCATAAAGCAAGCTGTTCTAGGCTGCTGCCAGGCTACGTTGTGGGCAGCGGAGTTCGCTAGAGAAACACACTTTGTTGTGCTGTACTTAAATGCTCCCCACCTTTATCAATCCGCACTGACCAGCATGGTGAACTATGGCCGGATTACCCACGCGACATGCATGGCACGGGGAAACCCAACAGTGGATTGGCAAAGGGCTGTACATGGATATTTAATGATACTAAGTTAAGATATGTCAAGTTTACTTGTTTAAACAAGTCTTCATCGAACGTGTCTCCTCTCCGCCCTGTATGGTATTTTCACATTGGTCCGTTGTGCAGAAGCCCCCCCACGATTTCATGAGAGAGTTGCACACGCAGAAACCCTCTCTCAGTCTGTTTAGGCTCCACCATGTGAGCCATTGGGAATTGGAGCCAGCTGTGAGCTCCTCACTTGGGGCGATTCCTCGCCAGTGAGAATTCAAGAGACTGTGATAATCTCCTTTGCAAGAGTGACCTGGATATTGAGTAATACTATTTATACACCCACCCCCTCATTCAGAAATGTGAATAGGGAATGGAAAGTTGCAACTGACCTTTGAAGTCGATCTGACACTTCTTATATAAGATCCGACATGTAGGATCCGACTTGTAAGATTCCTCAATTGTAGCGCTGTTGAGGTTGCTGCTTTTGCCCCATGAATTCTAAAATACAACACCATGGGGCATGTAAACATCATGAGTGATTTTCAATGGTTTAGTCTCACATTGCATCATTATATTTTGTTATAATTATCTCCCAAAGTCGATGATCACAATTTTAATGTTGTATGATTTTTTTTAGAATGACCAATTTATCTGGAGAAGATACCTCACAGGATTGTGAGAGATAGCAGTGACTTACATTGCCTTCATCCAGAGGTGGATTAACCATGGTTGATGATAATGATAATACATGATCAATTTGGCCACCATTATATGGAACTTTGTCCCATTAAGAAATAACACGTTGCTTCTCACTGCCCTTTAAAAGAAAATAAATACAGCTCTTGGCTTCATTTTTTGTTTGGAAATATCCACATTATATTCAAACCCACAGAAACACTAATTAAACCATTGGCTGTCATTATGCAATGTTTGGAAATTTTATCACAATGCATCTTGGTAGGAATTCTCTTGCAGTCAACCAACATGAATATTTTCGTCATGATCTAAGTGTGGGTTTCTGGGTTAGGCCCTGCATTGAGCATTCCTTCTCTTGAGCTTTGGCCATGCACTATACGTGGTAACCATGTCCGGTGACCTTCAGAGTTTTTTTCATCGAGAAAAGGAGTAACCATAAGGCCTGATATTGGGACCAGGAAAGGTCAAAGGTTAATAGTTCTGGGAGGGGGAGGCCAAAATTCCTATTTAAGCTGCACCTCTAGGCGCACACGTCAGCTTGGCAGAAAGGCAAGCTCCGAGTATGCTGCTTGCAAAATAAGACCCTGTATCTTGCCTGTATCGCGTGTATGCTGCGCGTGATACGTTGTTTGGGCTGGTTTTGTTTCATCCTGTTGAATTGCTGTAACAAGCGTGGTGCTGAGTGTTATTTGTACATACTGGTTGGTACTCTGAGGTTAATAGAATACGAAGATGAGAAGTGTCTTGGTGCTGGAGTTGTTCTTGCTATGAGTCGAGGTATTATGTGACTATATTCTGAGTCCTGTATCCTGCTGGTGAGATCTATGAACCTGAGATGTGAGGAGGTTTTATAATTGACAAAAAAAACATACCCCCAAGACTAAGACTACCCACACAACATGACCTAACCCACTAGACCACGCTTAGATTACAAGTGGTTGCGAAAACCCACGTTGAGATACGCTCATAGTAGTTCATAGATACATTTGTGAACTGAGAAGGAGAAATATGGATTATTGAATAAAAACAAAGTAAGGTCTACACTGTACCTCTTCTCCAAATTCGATCCATTCGTCATATCTATCCCTGTAATACCACACCCAGCGGTCCACTGACGGCACAGATAGGCGGCGGACGGGCCTGGTCTGTGGACCGTAGCACGTCATGGTGTTGAAGTCCAGATACCCGATGAGCGAATCACTGAACAGAAGCAGGCATAACAGTTATTACAGGCCAGGCAATGTGTGTGATTTCATCATAATCGTCATTGTCACACCCAGCACCATCATCACATCCAGCAAAATCATCATCATCACCAATTTGTATAGCTATCAGAAATTGTATTCAGTACATATCATAAATTAATACATATGATACAATAACTATCGGAAAATTATAATGATAACTAGTGATAACTATCATAAAGAGCTCTCTGACTTGCTTGAAAATATAGCAATGAGTGATCATCCACTTCACGAGTGTCACACAAAGAGCGAATACTTAGGCTGTGATTGGTGCAAAATATGAGCCAAGTAAATGCAAAAGTAAGTAATTAATGTATACACAGTGAACGTCACGGGTAAACATCGTTCATCAATATAGTAAAGTGGAATCTCCACCACTGGTTTTAAGAAATGGATTACAGGTGTCCACAGCCACAACACCAAGCCGATAGACCGCCTATCACTGACTCGTGGACATTTTTTGTATTGCGGTCCGAGCTTAATGAATGCCTCTTTAAATTATTCGGCACTAACATTCGACCACTATAGGATTGGTGCCTACAATTTTTGAAGGACACCAATTTAACTATGATATGAACTATAGCCCTCATTCAAGCCAGATCTCAACCCCAACTATAATTGTGAACAAACATTGCCTATCGCCATAGGAACACATTTACCAAACATATAACTTTAATCTGAAACCTTAACCCTTAATCCTAAGTTTCATCTTTAATAATGGCAAACCCACATTTCTCCTCGATTACCATTTGGGCTTAGCGAGCCGGTAGCTGTGAATTTGTGGCTTGCTGAAGGCTCGTTCTATTTCCTGGTTGGGCTCAAGATTTGCCCACTGTCCATCCATCTGAATTTGCCAACGAAAAGGGACATCTTCGTGGAGATGAGGGCAACCTGTGGGGGTGTATGAAAGAGAGGACGCGCAGTACTGTGATTAAACTTGCTTGTACAATTTGACCATTTACACATTAGAAATTACGTTGAAATTGTAAACACTCTTTTAACTCTATGGGTTCTTACCAGGGGTATTGCACAAGAATTTAATGCACAAGTCCATCCTGGTTGGATGTGAGGTCCTGTTCGCCTACACAAAATACAAGCACCATTTCAAGTCGGTAAAATGTATCAATGTGGCCTCATTGTTCGTTATTTGACCAGTGCAGTGACATGTGGAATCACAGTGGCAGTAGTTTAGTCAGACACTGCCAGAGAGGCCTCACTACAGATTAAAGCCCCTGGCACCTGTTGCCACTTGATGTCGAAGTCCGCGGTTCGAATTAGATAGGCCACTCTGGTTAATACTGCGGGTGTATTCACCTCACAATATGCGTCGTCTGCTTAGGAACGGACGTAAACGATCCTGCAAAACCATTCCAAATAGAGTGGGCCATTGTCTACTGGCGTAATTGCCTAAATTTAAAAAAATGTCCCCACAAATTGCTCTATTGGAGTTACACATAGTAATTATCACCCCCAAATCAGCAGATGAATGCCCACTTGCAAACCAGTGCTGAGTCACCTTGTGCTGCACAGAGACAGTTGCCACTGGAGGTCCCCTTTGAATGTTTGAGATGAAATGTGAAGTAATGTGCTTTGAGTTGTTGAGGCATTTTAGGCAAGTGCCATATACATGCAGAGATTTATATTTTAGACTAATTCCAACAATGAGGAACGGTGCATGTATACATTATATTAGAAAGCTACGTGTTTCGGAGTTAATCCATGTGTAACATTTTCACGAGTAGCCGTAAATATAGTTTGTAGGTTATGTTTAGTGCTGGAAAATATTACCATGTTTGATAATATTTGTCTTCTGCTTCCTGGGAAGTTGGGTTTCAAACGTTTCTCTGAGCACTCACACGAGTGTGAACAATGCTCTAATTGTGGCTGTGAATAAACAAGAATTGTGAGTGCGTGACATCGCCTTAGGTAACATTATCAGCAATGTCAGTTAGCCATTATCATAGTCTCGTACAGTACTCAGTACTCTCTCAAATAAAGAGCAACGATATTATTTCGTCTTGAAAATATCAAGACATTCAGTTTGAACAGATATTAGACGACGTTTTGGGAAATGGCCTTTCTTTATGGCACTACTGTCAACACAGAATCATTGTTAGATTTAAGATTCTTAAGAGCAGTGCATTTTTCAACGCATTTAGGAATTAAGATTACGACTTACTGCAAGTCAAATACTCAACATGAATTCCACTTTTGGTAACGAAAAATGTTCACATACTTCTTATCAGTAATTAGAAACTGCTTTCTAATGGTCGTGAAAACGCAGCAACGATGTCCAGTACTTTGAATAAAATGGACGCCATTTCAATATTAAACACGTGTTTCATTCCTCATATGGAATGTTAATCTTCAACATGTTAAAGTTACACGGCTCCACGAGATTTCTACAAAACCTCTCTGCATGATGGATAGTGAATTATATTCTTCGATAACTGCAGAAAGCATGATTGTATTTTTTTTAATATATCAAAATATACATTTAAGATCGGTCTTTGAAACACATTTAGTTGAAAGGATACAGTAGTTTGAAATATAAAACGTATAAATTTAAGATCGGTCTTTGAAACACATTGAGTTGAAAGGATTGTTGCTATTATACATAGGACTTAAATCCTCACGATTTTGCATAAAAAAGATAAACATCGGCACATGCAAACATTAAACAATAGGTATAAGAAATGTTAGAACACTCCTTAATCAAAACGTGAGAGGCGTGAGCATTAGAACAAACTCATGTTGCGTCCTGAATTCTCACCCAAGTATCTCTTCGTCACCGAACTCAGGCGCTCCGAAATGTGAAATGCCCCAACAGTGGCGAGGCGGAGAGTTTACCGTCTTGAACATGTGACACCTGCCCCTATATATTGTAGAGGCGTCACAAGTATGACGCGAAATGATACGCACGGGCAGTGTGTAGGCTGTACATCATTTCCTGAAAGCGCTATAGGAGGTGGTGATGCAAGTCTTCCAGCATGTAACCATGAACGTCACGAGTAGGAATGTGTCTATCGATTGCTTTGTGCATACAACCAGGTGGCTCAGCAGTAGAGGGAGTGGCCCACAATCTTAAGGTTGTGCGTTCAAATTCTGGTTGGGGGTTGACTCGGCTTATCATCAAAATGAATACCACTTTTTGGAGGGAAGTAAACAGTGGATGTCATGTAGACTGGCTCAACCATACCAAAGTAATGTGGAGTTTCAGGGCTTTAAACATGAGATGATCAGCGCCTTAACACATTGAAGCAGGAAATCAAATCGATTTTTAATTGTAGCACTGCTATGAATTCACAATGTCAGAAAACATTGAATGCTGCAGAATATTTTATATGCGAATGAACCAATGAATCACATGACCCACTGCTTAGCCACGTGATTGATGTCTTTCAGAAAAAATCCATCCCATTGCAAACAATGTAACTAGCGTCACGTTGCTAAGGTGTGGTTCAAAAGGCCAATCGTGTCAATTATTCACTAACCTTTTCGTTAACTTTATGTACTCTATTTAGATCTACGTGTTTGAAAAACTCGCTATACTGCAATGCGCTGTTGACTTACAAATTCAGAAGAATAAAATACTATGGGCTGAGAAGAAAATACCACAGACCATTAAGGTTGGAGCTATTCATAGTCCACGCTGAGTATGGGTTTTCCTCGCTCATACGGGCTCCGTTTGTGCGATTTTGCGTACATGCGGGTAACCTATTTCTACTCCAAATTCGCCGTCATGTGGTCATCACAATTTTTGATGTCAGAGAACTCTGAGCCGAGATAAATGCATCAACGCGTGTTGAAGGTGTGTTGGGACATTGCACCATCGCATGCAACATTTAAAAGGTGGCCTACGGAATGCCAACGTGGTAGAATGACGATATTCTGTAGCCCTAGGTCAGGCTGGCTTGCACCTGCATAGAGAATGAGAAAACAATTGTGGGCTGTGAAAAAAGTGGGTTTGGAAGACAGCCATGTTAGTACCGATGATTGGACAGGTAGCAGACATCTAGTTCGCCAAAATCCACGCATTTCATCAACACCAATACAACACTATTTCACACGCATCCTTCCCATAGCCAATATCTCACTGAAAGGTGGCGAGTCGCGTGGGCTAACAGGGCTTAGTTAATTTACCAGCTGGCATTCAAACACATCCTAGTATCATCAAAGTTGGCCCAACATTGGTCCAACGAGTCCAACCACATACCAAATTTGGTTCAATCTACCACGTCAATCTACCACGTCAATCTACCACGATGTCTGCTGTTTCTAAACCTCCGTAAAATTTCAATTCGGAACCACAAACAACTCACCTGCCACTTATGACATCACCCTGCCAAAGTCATATCCTGAACCCTTCCCCCATCCCCAGAAGAAACCTGATGATTTGAAGCTGCCACCAAAGGCTTATTATGCAGACACAAGATATTTATAATGTGATTGCCATACACAGGAATGTGTGCCCTCCTGCTCAATTCAAGTGGTTGCAGAGCTTTAACTATGCGTCAGAGGGCTCACCCTCATTATCCAATACTAATGGCATACACATGTTTGGGTTATTGCCGAATGCAATTACACATGATATCATGTATTGGTACGGTTGCCACCTATTTAACAGACAAAATCCCACACGTATTTTTCAGTCAACCCAGGTCTATCAAACATATGCAGTATACGGTAATAACGTCCAATACAATGCCACCAGATTGTGAATAAATTCTTATCGCTCGAACACAAATGCCAGTTCCCGGACTGTCTCGGTCAAACCCGGACAGATGGAAAATCTACGTTATGCAGGTGTGTGTGTGTGTGTGCATGAGTAACCTATCTTTCGTCACAGGTATGTTGAAAACATGTTCACAAAATAAGTTCTTCAAGACCATCAGCAAATTTCTCCACCCTCCTCCACCCCTCTGTCCATCATTGGTGATGGGAAGCAACTCAGTTTAAACTGTACAGTGGCATGGTAAATCTCTTCAGCGCTAATTACATATAAGTGTACATTTTCAATTCTACTTTGGTCATGGCACTAAACACAGTCGATAGGTCTCGTAGGGGGGTACTGAAGTAAAAAGGTCTGGAACCACTGCCCCAATGTATCTCCTTCTGTCCCTCTTCTGTACTCTGATGCCCACAGTGTATCGCCCACAGCCGATATCACTTGGTATGTATGGTGGCTGCCCATTCAACCGTCCTACCCAGGCTCCAGCCTGTTTAGCTTCCCAAATTTGACGTGAACTGGGCGCATTCTGGGAGATTTTGGTCATACGCCTGTCTAATGCATAATGAGGTTTTTTTTAATTAGTGTACGATATTGCTTTCATTAACTCACTCTTGTTCGGTATTTGGTGAAGGTTAATAATGCTCGTGTGACTTGTTGGTATAAATTCATAATTTATTTTTGTTTTTACAAAATGATTCATGCTGGAATGATAATTGCGGTATTTATAAATAAAAAGCTTTATCTGCTTTTGTTGTCAATATATTTTTGTCCCGCAAAATGATTCAGCTTTTATTGTTGTTCGTATGATAATTTATTATGTAATCAACGCACGTCTCATCACCACACCCAGCTATGTGTGCGTCAGTCGTCATACACCAGTCATCGCAGTCATCTCTGCCAGTCATCACAGTTCATCCATGGCACTTGGGTCTGTCCCGTGACGTTTTGCCAGCGAGCCTTCGACACTTCACGTGGCCTGGCACAAGCGCCGTGGTGATGTCACCCCCCCCCCCCCCCACTTAGTGGCCAATAGCGTGTGTTCTTGTTATACGCACACCAGGACACACTGCAGAACACCACAGAGGGTACTGAGATGCGCTCAATGCTGGGTATCTTATTTCTGCATTTTGGGTCACAATTAAAACATATCTGGTACAACATCGCATATCCGACCGTGACCAATTAGCCGCCGACATTCAGATACGTACTCCTTGGTTCTTTCGGTAAAGTCACGTAAGTATCAAATGAAATAAATTAAATCACGACGTTTCGATCGCTACCACAAGCGACCGGTCGCTTGTGTTGCGATCGACGAAACGTCGTGATTTAATTTATTTTATTTATACCTCCGTACTTTACCGAAAGAACCAAAGAGTTTGGATCCCTGCAGTCACGAAAATTTCAGATCTAGATTCAGTATCGTGTTTGTGTTTGGTATCACTGCCATTTTCAGCGCCCAGCGAGTCGGATATGCGACCTGCTGCATTGTTGGGGTTTAGACCACAATCCGACATGCACATTTTTGTAAAGTTATTATCTCAGAGAGGTAAAAACTGAAGCTATGTCCACTGTATTTTATTGCTCCTAAAGTTTAACAATTATCTCGCAAAAACGACACAAATGAACACGACGAGTAAAAAAATTACACACCATGGTTATACATTACATCAAAGGTCAAATAAATCATATATCATATGAATCTTATTTTTAAAGAGCAGGAATGCTTTTAAAGTGTTATCTACAATATTCTTTGGGTCTTCCGGTAAAGTCACGTAGATAGGTTCAAAGAAAATAACAAAAAACTACGACGTTTAGATCGCAACGCAAGAGATCGTCATCAGGAGGCAAAAAAGAGTGGGGAAGCTGCTGATGCAGACTGTTTTAAAGGTTTAAAATGTGTGTAGCCCAAGGGTCATAAACGAAGTTGGCGGGGCTAGTGATGTTAATGTGATAAATTGGCATATTCTTTGGATCTTTCGGTAAAGTCACTGTGACTTTACCAAAGAATATGAACTCCTGCAGTCACCAAAGGGTTAAGTCAATAAATTAGCATGTTAATGGAAGATCGCAGAGCAGCAACGAGGTGGCTGTGTTAGTGTGGGAAATTTCACCTGTTCATGTAAAATCAGAGAGCTGAAAATAACAACTAACATCGGAAGGTGGAAGGATGGGAACATGACCTCTCTTTGCTTTGGAATGATGTGACAAAGCCCCATTATGATTGTGATGCAGATTATGCCAAGTGCCATGCTTACTGGTGACCTATGCAAATGCATATGCAGCTATAACGCTTTCTGACGTACAACTTTGCATCAATTGTGATCATCACAACGAATTCCATACCTGTCAACCCCTTATCAGTGCTAACCTTATTACAGACCAATTCAGACCTTATTGGTCACCCCGTGCCCCTTATACATCTCAACGTTCATCCTACAAAGTCCCATTATATTACTCTTTGGTTCTTTCGGTAAAGTCACGTAGGTATAAAATAAAATATTTTTTTTTAAATTTCTACCTACGTGACTTTACTGAAAGAACCAAAGAGTATGGATCCCTGCAGTCACGAAAACTTCAAATCCCATTATATTATTATGTTATTTTCTATTTCCGTACACACACTTTCCCTTTAGAGCAGTGTTATTGACGAATAGATTTGTATATTTGTATTTATTAAAAAATAGTAGGGAAGCACACCCATTGGCTAAGCACCACATAATGTTAACTACCTCGCGCTGTATACAGAAGGTCGTGGGTCCGATCACGACCCTGACGCCTGCTGTGTATTTTGAGTTTCTGTCTCATCATCACGGTGGCTAGGAGATGTTAACTACCTCGCCTGGTCTACAGCAGGTCGTGGGTCCGATCCCGACCCTGACGCCTGCTGTGCATTTGGAGTTTCTGTCTCACCATCACTGTGGCTAGGAGATGTTAACTACCTCGCCTGGTCTACAGAAGGTCGTGGGTTTCGATCACGACCCTGACGCCTGCTGTGTATTTGGAGTTTGCGGTGTCTCTTTCTCTCTCCGTGGTCGAGTGGATTCTTCTCCGGGGTTTTCCCTCCACTGTGTAGAATCTCCATGCGCTTGGAGTATTTTGGCTGCTATCACACA